ATGGCAAGAACTCAGAAAAATACTTGGCGGCTATTACCTGGAACAAGATTTCTGATACCTTAAGATCCCTAAGTACATTGTCAGCTTCTAAAATAGCCTGTTCCCGGCTCTCAGATTGTGGGGAAGACGCAAAAGTAAAAGGCATGCGAAAAGTTGGCGGGGCGGGAAAAAAAGGAAAAAGGAAACCACCCCTTCTCTCCCCAGTTTCCTCCCCTTTTATTTTCGTGTTCGCGTTTTCTCAATTCAGCGAGCCCGATTATCTCCGTCGGAGCCTGGAACAGGCTACTTCTAAAAAAGCAGTCCGCCAGCTAAGGTTCTAGCAAGAGAGAATGATTCTCTCTTGGTTCTAGCTGATTCTCAAAAATAGCTATATTCTATAATGTAATTAGGCTTTTTATTGTAACTAGTTACATCACGCAATTTTAGGCTTTATATTGTAAATAAGTTTTTTTGTTTTCCCTTTACTTCTCTATTATTTTATTTTATTTTTTCTCGGCTTACTGGCATATAAATAGAGCTTCATTCATTCATTCATTCATTCGGCGTGTGAGAACTTTCTTGCTTCTTTAATTCGCAAGCTCAGTTAGCACTGAAAAAGAAAGACTTCTCACAACGCCGAATGCCATTTATGAATGCCTTAGCAGTGATCGTTTTTCGCAGATAAAATAGTATAAATAAAGCCCATCGGGAAGACCTGAGAAAAAATCAAAACTTTTTGTCTTGCTAAATCTTCCGTCCCAATTAGCGGCGCCTGGGTCTGGTATCACAGCAGAATTGGACCCCGAATGGAGAAGGGGGGGTGGGGGTATTCAACAAATGCTTATACTGGGAGGCTCCGCCCCAAGGCCCAACCCCTTACCCTTTTATATACCAGTTTTGACAGAAAAGGTACCCCTTTCGTATACTGTCTATTGACAAATGGTACCCCTTTCACATACTTTGTTAGGAACATTGCATCCCTTTTAACTGCTGTAAATGCACTGTCTTTTAAACAGGAATCCGTCACAAAAATAGAACGTTTTCTCGACTTTATAAAGCCATAAAATTCATCTGTTAGCCCTTTAGGGCCCTTTCACAGACCCAAATGACAGATTTCCCTCCCCTTTTATATACTTCACCTAGTGAAATCCCTACCCTCTCATATACCTGAAGCCTGAAAAAAAGACCCCTTTCGGATGGAGCCTCCCCGTATAGGCCATCATTGGGAGTAACCCCCCCCCCTCCCCCCTGGACTGGACCCCAGTCAAAGTTTGCTAGCGACATATGGACCGGTTCTCCACAATCTTTTCCCCAAAACCAACATTTTCCCCTTCTAGCTGCAAATTGTTTCCAGTGTTGCCGTTCATCAGGTTTTCTTTGTCTTCAAATGCAAAGTAGCTTAGGCGTAACGGCTTCAAAATTTCATGAATAAAATAAATGATGAGAAAAAGTTTATATGTCTAGTCAAAAACTTCTTGTTAACATGCATGTCAAAAAACGACTATCAACATAATGTAAACAAGAGGTTTCAAAACCTTCCAACCCTTAACCCTCGACAAATTTTGAGAGAATGTCGAGACAAACAGCACACATTTGAAAGGTTATGCCTGGATGCTTACAAATCATGTGAAACCAAATACACAGTATTATGTGAATGTATAATTTCTATAAAAGCAAATGAACCATGCAGCTGAATCACATCCAAACAGCAACAAGCACATCATTCAACCTCTTGGCATAAAGAAATCACTGTCTCAGAAATAAATGGAAACAATCAAGGTATGAACTGCTTACTCCCTTTTATTTTTTTGTGAAAACAAAAGAAATTTATTCATCGGCAGCTTTTCGTCTCTACGCTTTGAAAACAGAAGAAGCTTGTTTGTTGAATCATCTGAATGTATCAACGACTCTTATTTTAGCGTGAGTAAATGCTTATCTCTGCTACTTAAAAACGGCATCGAAATTAACTTATATCACCAATAGTAGTACAAAGTTGACACCGACTTCGTTTAACGCAATGAATGGACAGTCATTATCTAGGCGCGGCTTTTAAAGGTGATTTTGCCACGATTCACCCAGATGAGAACAAATCAGTTCTTTATCTACACCATACAGGGCAAGCGATTTACACCCAATTTATACTGTAAATGAAAAAAAGAGAGAATACAGTAGCAACTCTTAGGCGATGAAGACCGGAGATATAGTTCATATTTTTGTGGTGTCCAAAGTAAGAAGAGCCAGGGGAACGCAACGACCTAATGTGTTCAAATATGTGTCTCGAACGATTAATTCTCTATGGTTTAATTAGAAGCCTGTTTGTTAATTTAGAGCTACCCTTTAAACTACCTTTTCGGATGTCGTAAAGGAACGTTTGTAGTTTCGAAAGTTTTAGTGGCTTTTTCGTCTCATCCGAAACTGTTAGCTATCCTGATATTAAAGTAAGGTCGAAAGTTCGAGAGGATGTAGAGTAGCCGTACTTTCATGAGAATATTCCAGAGGACGTATTGTCTTTATGCCGACGGAAATTTTCGGGAGAACTTTTCGTAACAACAATTGCATTATCTTGGTAGTAGAATTAGTAGAATCCTTCTTGATGTGCTTTTTCGTGAGTTTAGGTTTTCTAAAGCGTCTTTAAAAGCCCTGAAATCTTCATTCATAACTTTTTAAAACTTTGCCGACATCTTGGCACTGACACGTACGGAAAGTTGCCATGACAATTTTAAAATTTCACAAGTCAAATAATAAATTAGTACGCTGAAATTTCGCGCCCAAATTAAGGAGTAATTTGTCACCCATGATATTCAGTAAAATAGTAATAAGAAAGCAGCAGTAAAAGCATGTTTAATTGGTCAAGAAGGGTCTCAATGAGACGGCATCTTTGACCGTTCTCTGTCATTTTTTCCCAGTTCTTACCGTTGTCGGTTAAATTTTAGCGCTTTTGGCGGTTAACTGTTAACAAGTGGAAATTTAGTCCAGGAGTTTAAGAAATAATTATCTTCTGTATAACTTTACATTAAATGTTGTGTTTTGAAGGTCATCTTATCTTTTCAGTTATAAAATATCGAAATATTTTCAGATATAAGCAAGTTGTATGGTCTTGTAATAGCTAGACAGCTATTATCAGCTACTATTCAACTGGTTTTGATTTCAAAATTTACCTTCGGACCCGAAAAGTTATCTGGCCTTTCGAGAAACAGGCCCCATTTTTTTTCCAATTTAGAGATTCTTCAGGAGCTGAGACGTCCGTTAGGATCCGCTGAAATAGTGAGATTTGAAATAGCTTGAAACTTTTAGACGGTTAATATCTATCTGCATTTTTGACAGTTGACGGAAAAAATAAAATAAAAATAAATTTAGCCGGACCTTTAGACAGCCGACGGATAACTTCATTGAAGTTCGTTGAGACCCTCGCCATCAAGAGGTGGTATTTCCAATCTTTCTTCAGAGAACTTATTTTTTCAAACACAAAAGAAAAAAGGGCACAGATTCCCAAATCTTTGGACCAGAAATGAATTTAAAGACCTTAATTAGCGAATACTCTAGCTCTAAAAAAGATAAGTCTACTTGCAAGTCTTTGAGTGTGAATGTTAAATGCTGGAGTCAGAACATCTGTTTCAAGGGAAATATCAGTATCGTTCTTAATCTTATGAGTGTAAAAACAGATGTGGGTCGGTTACACATTAAACACCTTGTTGACCCCAGCGTAGATTACTCGGGTGTAATTGACTGAAATAAGAAAATATTTAATGTGGTTTCTAATAACCGTTAAATTTCCTAAATAATTTGCCAGTTGATCTTTCTAATCAAGACATATGACAAGCTTCTTTTAAAAAGTTCTTGACAGTTGAATCACTGATGACTTCAGCTGTTATCAACGAATGACTACGTTGCTTGTGAGGATGTTATCCCGGAGGGGAAAACAGAAACGGACCGGGATACTTGTTATTTCCTAGACTGCGAGCAGTCTCTCTTCCGCCTCGCGCCTTCAGTCACGCGCGTGGTCCTTTTCGTCTCTCGCACTTCTCGCACGACGGACTAAGAAAAAAGAGAGACTGCTTTTAGTCTAGTCGTTTCCCTGAAATCATAGACTTCAGTTGATATCAGTTCACGTATACAGTTTTGAGGGTCCCCAATATGCGAGATTTATCTTATTTGAAGAGCAAGATTGGGAATTTAAAAAAAAATGGGAAGGAGATTCGGGATTGAGCGTGTGCATGGAATGCGGGATGCCGAAAATAGCCGTCGAGATTATGGAATTGCGCCAAAATTTGTATCGGTATGACGGGATTCGAGAACCTTATTGGAGACCCTTAGTATTGAACAAGCTAACACTAGCCTGCAAGTGCTGGCAGACGTCCTTTCGTCTTAAGATTCACTGAAAAACGTTTTGCGCTCTAATTATCCGACACCAGGGTTTGTTGAAATTTCATGTTGTTGAAACTTCGAAAAAATAAGAGGCAGGTCCTCAATGGTTAATGTAATTGTAATTTAAATTTCGCCTTTACTCTCCACAGTGGCTTCAGCAGCTCAGTGGTTAGAGCATCTGATCTAAAACTCGGAGGGTCTTGAGTTCGAATCTCAGCTGGAGCTAGAAAAATTTTCTGAGCTTTCCGATGTTAAATTTCTCTTTCTTCTAGAATTATCATAGAATTGACTTACCATGCTTGTAATTTTCAGATATGAATCGTTTCTCCAAAATTTGCGACATCTTAACGCGAAAGAAGATTGAAGATAACTGGTTCGGAGAGTCTCCCCTGAAAAGATGTCTAACCACTTTGGACCTGACCTCTCTTGGCGTGGCTGCAGTAGTTGGCGCAGGTTTGTATGTAGTTACGGGGGAGTTGGCACGTGACGTTGCAGGACCAGCTGTTGTTGTCTCCTTCTTTATTGCTGGAGTAGCTGCTCTCTTTTCTGGGATTTGTTACGCCGAGTTTGGCTGTCGAATACCTAGGGCTGGCTCTGCCTACGTCTACTCTTACGCGACTGTTGGAGAGTTCTGGGCATTTTTTGTGGGCTGGAACATGATTTTGGAATATATAATCGCGGCCGCAAGCTTGGCACGAGCGTGCAGTGAATATATCAACTCCTTTGTCCAAGGCTCTATATACAATTTCTTCATGGAGGACATCGCTAAGTGGAATGTTCCAGCGCTCGGCAGTTTTCCTGATTTCCTGGCCATGGCTTTGGCGTTAGTCATTTCGTGTATAGTGTCTTTAGGTGCACTAAAGTCCTCACTGTTTAACAAGGTCATGACGTTTATAAATCTTTCTGTCATCATTTTCATTATTTGCGTTGGCTTATACTTTGTTGAAGGAAAAACCTGGCAGGCATTTGCCCCTTACGGAGTGAATGGAGTTCTAAAAGCCGCTGGAAGTTGCTTTTATGCCTTTGTGGGCTTTGACGTCATTGCTACAGCGAGCGAAGAGGCGTTAAACCCCAAGCGTTCAATACCATTATCGATCATCCTAACAATTGTGATCAGTTTTCTTGCCTATTTTGGAGTCGCCACAGTTCTCACTCTCATGATACCTTATAATCAGCTCAGTCAGTTTGCACCTCTGGCTCAAGCCTTTACCCAACGAGGATTCAGCGCCGCAAAGTATGTCGTGGCAATTGGAGGGCTCTGCGCAACTATGAGTAGTCTGCTGACCGCCACATTTTCAGTCCCACGTATCTTGTACTCTATGGCTACTGATGGCTTGCTGTATAACTGGTTTGCGCATGTGCACGATACCACAATGGTACCTGTTCGGGCAGCTTTGGCTAGTGGAGTTTTGATTGCATCCTTGGCATTACTACTGGACCTCAAACAGCTGGTAAGATTTATTTCTGCTTTTTATTTATTTATTTTTTTCTTCACCACTAAGAGAAAAGTGTTTGTTTAAAATCCTGTCTTAACATGTAAGAGCATCATTGATCGAATTTCGAGCTACTCACTCGGTTTCAACACATGCCCTTCGGTAACATGGTCTTATTGAAATCCATGCTTTATCGTTTCCTTTAGGTTGAGATGTTGTCCATTGGCACGTTAATGGCTTACACTATGGTAGTAATTGCTGTTCTCGTCACGAGATATACTCCTGGTGTTGAAAGTGTAACTTTGGAAAACGACGGAAGCGACAAGACAACCAAAACGTGGATGAAGACGCTCTGTTGTAGCTCAGACGAAACAGATGATAGGGCGGATATTAGCTACAGACAGGTGCAAAACATCGACGAAGAAACCAGGAGCAGTAAAGAGGAACCAGACGAGAAAACAAGCACTCGCGCTCGCGTTGGTGTGTTCACACTGACTTTATCCATAACGGCATTCTTAATTTGTCTGACTCGTACTTATTCATACTTAGGCCGAGCAGAGGCCTGGGCAATTCTTCTTTGCTGTATTTTTGGCTTACCGATTGTCGCCTCTTTGATGTATATTATCAGACAGCCAAAAAATTCCGCTACGTTTCCGTTCACCGTCCCGGGAGTGCCATTCGTTCCAGCCATTGCAATATTCTTCAATGTTCTACTAATAGTAAACTTGAATCCTTGGACATACATCCGTTTTAGTGTGTGGACGGCTCTAGGTGAGTTATTGCCCACTGAAAAGGTTGGGGGTGGGGGTGGGGGACGGGTGACGCCCGGATAGTTGACGGCTGCCATGCTTAAGGGGAGGCTCAAGTTCAAACCCCGAAAGGGTCACTGACCATGGACTTAATAGGCTACTTCCGAGTTCCAAAAGTCCTCACTTTCAAAATGATGCCAAGCGCACAACCTTTCTTGTGAAAATAAGTTTTATTTGCATGAGAATGAAATCTCATTTTCATCAGTCAAAGGCTGAGCACTTGACCTCGTCTTGATACAGAGGCCCGGGGAAATCGAAAATGGCCTACTGGCTATCTTTGAAATTAGCGGACAATTCTTGCCAGGACCCCTGGGACAAACAGCAGCGGCGGAAAGCCGGATCTTGGTGTAGATCAGGATAACACTTAAAACTGCAGGCATGGCTGATCAGACAGCTAAGGATTGGTAATTTATTTGCCCAATACTTCGACAAGACAAAACTAGTAAATACTGTGACCCTTTATTCTATTCTCACTTAGCTTTTCAAGCCCTTGATGAAGACTAGTTTTGTCTAGTAGAAAAATTGGGCAAATAAATTACCAATCATTAGCTGTCCGATCAGCCTTGCCTTCAATTAATTTTCAGTATCTTTTAAATCCCGACCCAGTTCAAAGCTCTAGTCTGCTTCACAGCTGTTTTGACTTAAAGAACGGCTGTGGAGCAGACTACAAGAACTCCGACTTTTCTCCCTTGGTCGTGCTCTGATTTAGTAATTCATAAGGATGCAAATAAGCACACAGACACGGCTGTTAAAAAAGGTAGGGAACGTTTCATCGGTGTGGGTGTGATCTACCTGAATCGGCTATCATTTCATGTATCATCAAGAGACTATAAAGGGGACAGAGAGGGCATCCCCCATATACACCCTATTCCATAGGTAATTCGTCTCGAGTTATTTTTAACACCTCAGATCTCAAGGGGGATTAGACAACAGCCAATCACATAGCGCGAATGTGTTCCGCGTGGATGGCCCACGCTGAGAGCCACGCGTCCTTCACGAAATGACGCAGAACAAAATGGGGGAAGACGCGGAGAGCGATTTTGCTATTCCTTTTCTCGACGAAAACGACTACAGCGAGATTTCTGCGAAAGCTGTGTCAGCGAAACCGAAATTAAAAAAGAATCGCCCTTCCTCTCTTGTATAGAGCTAACAGTAGAGCAGGGAAATCCTTAACACACTTAATATTCTCTCAGGATCATTTATAATTTACAGTTTGAAGAGAGCAATTTCTGGTTGATGTTTATTTTTTTGTCTTTATAGCGATTATTCCTACCCACTTACTTTGTCAATTGTAGGCGAACCCTCCTAAAGCTGAATTTCAAGGGACCATATTCAAGCTCAGAAAGAGAAATAAAATTTCGTCGTTGCTTATTTACGTCCTCCATAAAACGCAAAATTAGGCATTTTCACGTCGTAGTCGTGCAAAAACGGGAAAGAAATGAACAAAAAAGTGTGTTGCACGTGCGAAGTTGTTGTTTTGCTAATTAAACCTATTGTTTTTTTGACGTTCTAGTTGTCATCCGCGTCGTTGGATCTTTAACTCCCTAAATTGTACAAACGACCGGTTTCAATAGACCGGCGAAATTTCTCATTTTATTAAAGCACTGAGGTTACAATAACTTCGAGTTAAACTGATTTCACGGGTTGTCAAAGAGTCCAGCGATTCCTTTTTCCCAGGTGAGCGCCGACTCATTTCGCTTCAATATTCAGGGATGCTCTCGATCTTTTTACGCTTTCATTGCCTCTCGCCCGACATGTTTTGCACGGCGTTTGGTCATGCGAAATCTCCACGAAACATCCACGCCTCGCGCGAGGTAACTTTATCCCGATTCTAAAAATAGCTCGAGACGAATTACCTGTGGAATAGGGTGTATATGGGGGATGCCATCTCTGTCCCCTTTACAGTCTCTTGGTATCATACACATAGGCGTACGGAAAATTTTTTGCCAGGGGGGGCGGTAAACCATTTGCCCAAAAAAATCTCGCAAGTTGCCCAATTTTTACGAAAGAGTCGAAAAGAAATGAGGGCCATATTGCAACAACATAGGCCGTCCTGGCATATGAAGGTGGTTCGATACAGTTTTCCAGGGGCAATACCAAGTCTGAGCATAAACTACGTCGCCATAAACAAACATTTGGAAAAATTGCGACCACAGTTGTATTAAGATGAAAATTTGTCATCATCAGGGTTGCAATGACATCGGAGTTATCATAGCAACGAAATAGCTCCATGATTCTCTGCACGGGAACCTTACAAAATCGTTCACAGGAGCTTTTTTCTCCAATACGGTCGCCTCGATGTTCGTGAAGTTTGAGCAAAACCTTAAGAGCGTTTTCGAGATATTTTGGAATGAAGGTTTTATTATTAGAAATACGGAAAGAAAAGGAAAATCTTGATTTTTGGCCGTTATCTGTAGAAAACGAATCGCTTTTGACCTGCAATTTCACCTCATAGTAGTCTTAATCGTTTTAAAAACATGTGTGAAAGATCGTGGAGATAGCTCTGCTTGATTGCTAGATTCGAAAGAAGGATTTGATTAGTATGTATCGAGACACTCTTGTTAGCGGTTCACAGTGTAAACATTTTGGTCTACTTTAACAAATTATCGAATAATTTAAACCGCTCGATAGATTTTTTGAAAGAATTAAGATTCTTCTCGTAATTCAGACTGAGAATTAGTCAGCCACTTCTTCATTTTCAGACCCATTGTAGCCCGCGTAGCAAGCGTTTCCAGTCGAACTCGCCCGGAAACGCTTGCTATGCAGGCTATACCCATTGCTAAATGCTATCTGCCATACACTGTTCTTCGAATGGAGATGATTCTAAAAAGTTATGCGAAAGTTTATTTTAATCAATTCACAACTGGAAATAGCCCATTCCAGCTAGTGCAGTACAGTATAGTGACCAACCAAAAATAGCTGCAAATATGTAAATTACTCATCACATGCTAGGCAACCACTGTAATGTAACTGGATTATTACGCCGACTTCAGGTTAATATTCAGGTCTTTAAAATAATTAAATAAACATGGAGACGTCTTTAAGAACTGGCTTTGCCCAAATTTTCTCTCGCTGCCCAAAAAATCTGAGTTGCCCAAAATTTGGGGGGGCTGCAGCCCCCCTCGCCCCCCCGGCCCGTACGCCTATGATCATACATGCCACAGATAGCCTAAGAAAACAGCCGACATCTCGCCACGCCACCAACGGTTTTCTCGCGAAAAGACGTCTGAGAAACGAGCGCAGAAATTCCATACTGATGACGCGTCACTACCCAGATCTGGGTAGTGTTTCTGACTGGTTGAAACAAATTTGCCACCCGGCAAAACCAATCACAAGCACTACCCAAATCTGGGTAGTAACAAGTCATCAGTATGGAATTTCTTCGCTCGCTTCTCAGGCGATCCATGGGAAGGTTTGGTTCAGTACGCTTAGACCCCTTTTATGTGGAGAAAACTCGCCCTGGGTATAGAACGTTCCTCGCCTACCCGAGATTTCTTATGCAAGCCAACTTTTCCTACATTTTCTTACAAAACATGGTGAACCGTTTGCGTGAGAAACAAAAAAGTTTGCTTGGCTAGAAGGGTGACCCTTCCATACTAGCCGAGCCGCCCCTTTTCGATGGAAGGGTCATCCTCCTAGCCGGGCTAACTTTTCTTCACATAAATTATTAAAACACTTTGGCTCGCTTAGGGCCTGTTTACATGTGGGGGACCCCAGACAGGTGAAGTAACATACAGCGGGTCATCCCACCTATCTTGTAAACGTGATCAAATTAAAATGAGAGATTATATGGACAGGCGGGTTACTCCACCTAAGTGGGTTACCTCACCTTCCTGGGGTCCCCCAACCTCCATGTAAACAGGCCCTAAGCCGGGTCAACCCGGTTAAGGCAAGGCAATCACAGCATGCGCGAGGGCTCTTAACACGGGAGTCAACAACAATTCCTTTAAGCGTTCATGAAATGGTAGCAGCGTTGCAGTTAGAATGTCTAAAATATGCTAATAATCTTCATGCTCTTTAATCGTTTCAGGACTCCTTGTATACTTTGGTTATGGTTATAAACACAGTGTGGAAGGTATGAGGCAAAGAGAAATAACGCAAACACAACTCATAATTTCACAAACGGAAAATTTTGGCAAAGAAGTTGAAGAATATCCTTTGGCTTCTGAATAACAGAGGACAAGAAAAACACGATAAAACAGGAATGACTATGGTTATTATAATTATTGTAACTAACAAGGTGTAAAGGCGTAAAAAATGCGTCACACCTGTGATTCTGAATTAAAAGAACGTTTGACTTTGCGGCTTTACGTCTTATTTATACTTCTCGTAAGTTACCATAAAGCGAAGAGTCAGTGGTCGCTCACGGAAGGTGGTTATTTACGAAAATCAAATCACGTTTCTCTTCCGTTAAGACGTCCGGACTCATCTACTTCATGGCAGATAATTCATCGCGTGCAATTTCAATTTTATATGCACAGTCCCATGTTGTCACTAAACGTTCTTCGTGTAATCTGAGTAACATGGTACATACAGCGAACCTAGAGACCAAACTTTAAATAAAGTGGTTGCTCACAAGAGGCTAAAAACAATAGCAAGTTAAAAAAGACCGTCAGCCCCAAAAAGTGAACGTGGTCGCTTACAGGAGCCGGTCGTTTACGAGAGGTTCCAACTGTAAAGGTTTGACCGGAAAATGTTTGTTCTTTGGATTGGTGGTAGCTCATGGAGGTGCGACTGTATTCAAATTGTCTTTGCTCTTTGTAATACATCCCAAGTAAAACTATGTGTATGCAACAAATTCAACAGGTGTCGCAAAAATAGAAAACAGTGTGAATCCCACAAAACAACGAAATTCCACAATGAATACAGATTCTTCTAAAACTCTTTAATGACCTAACGTATTAAAAAAGCCTTTTTAATCGAGGTAAAAAAGACAATCTACTATAGTGTTAGTAAACACAAATATTTGCTTTTTACTACAAGAGGAAACGGGTAGTCTTTCCACAAGGTACATGGGACACGCGTACACGCGCAGAGTGTAGCCAACACGGAAGCGATGACGGTTTCATACGATTACCCCGAAAACGTACATGTCTGAGTGCGATAACGATAATGTACAATGTACATGTTCAATAAAATTTGATCATTTCAGTATATACATGCTATTTTGGACAAAGAAACGCAAGGCGTTAATGGCCTGATATAACCCTTTCACTAATTCACTGTTCATTTATCTTTCCATCTACAAGAAGCAGAATTTGTGTGCTTACATTAACTTACAGACCCAACCAGTTCGCACTTTTTATAGGTCAAAAAATGCTGTTGTCTTTCTTGTTTTCAGATCTTGAAACGCAAACATCCTCGGTTAATTCTGTTTCTCATACGCGCGCTCTCTTATCACCACCTGAAATATCATCTTCCCCCTTTCGTTTTCTTGACTGCAAAGAAACAGGTCTGTCCGGTTCAGCCAGTTTAGCTATTTCAGGAAGCAAGTATTTTTGTGGTGGAGGGGGTGGATCTTGCATCAAGTATTCAGCGATATAGTCCGGCTTTAGGCACCAAACGTTATCACTCTGCAGCAAGCTTAGATCTGACGCCTCCACCTTTGTTTTTGATAAATCTGAAAACAAAAATAAAACATTGGCTTTTCTAATATGATTGCACAAGGCGCAAGGTTTTTGGTTAATGTACTGCGCCATCAGAGGTATAGAAAATAAACAGCACTTTTTTCCTATAAAGCCCTCCGTTAAAATCGAAACTTATAATTTTGCTGTTGTGGATTGAGATAACGATAGTTATGAAAATAATTTTAAAAAATATATCATTAAGAGGAGGGCATGTATTGAAAGATTGATACAATCCGTAGTGGCGGCATGTTTAACCTTGGCGACTTAGATGCATGCTCGTGTTCTGCCATAACCGTCGGAGTTTTGTCAAGCGACAATTTCTTCAAATGATCTACTCAACGACGATCTAATCTGTGGTATGACTGCCCATCCCCACCCCCACTGGTCGCTCCTCTAACTCTCCTCAGTCTTCCTCTCGTTTTGTAATCAAAGTTGGCGACCTCACATACCCTAACTTTTACGCCTTGACGCTGAAAAAGTTATTTATTCGCGGTTTCTAATTTCATGAACTAATCACTTGCGAATGAGTTTTGGTCCTACTCTGGAATTTATGAAATTTTATGCCATGTATAAAAAGGGCTTAATCAATAATTGCTATAAGCGCTTAACAATGCCTAATATAAATATAACAAAATTAATAATGGTTAATGAACTGAGCGGAGTGCAATTTGGTATGAAATCATTAGGGTGATTTTAAAATCGGATGCAGCGCGCAGCGCAAGTTCGATTTAAAATAACAAGTATGATTTCAGACCAAAATTGCAAGACACGAAGTTCAATTACCACTTTATTACAGTTATTTTTAAATCGCAGAATTCATTATATTTCAGTACCAAACTTATAGTGATCCAGTAGCCAGTTTGCTGAAAAAGTGGAAGCAAAAAGGTTTTTACATCTCATTTTGTATTCGAAACAGATGATGCGATATAGAGCAAAAATGGTGCGATTTAGACCCGATATGATTAAGAGCAAAAAACAGTGCGATTCGTGAATAAATCCCACCGCCGAGTGTCAATCAACTTGCAAGGATCACCAGTAATTTCAAAATGGATATAATAAAAGATACATAATCAATCCCATCAGTTCCCGCTCGCAGAGGGCGAGCGGGGACTGGCGACGAGGACTTTATTGAGCCGTTTTCAATTTCGTTCTCGATTGTAAAATCGTTTTCTCAACTTTCGTGCTGTAGCCCAACATCGAAACAGACTCCACACGTTACCGTTGCCAACGAAAGTTTCCTATTTTCTCTGTGTTGCAAACTATTGATAGATATTAAGTCGCGGCCTCGATGTTATTTAGTGTGGTTTTAAATATTTTTACTTTAATTCCCTTCGTTGATCTTACATTCTTTAAGGCTACGTGCAAACAGACGCAACAACTTTGATTATTGTTGGCCCATTATTGTTAGGAGTTGTTGGATAGTATTGGCAGTGGTCAGGGCTCGAAAAAAAACTTGAATTTAAAATTGTCCTTAGTGCAAGCAGTGTTACAATTTTCTTTCCCAGGGCCACTTCTTGCTCGCTCATTAGAGGATGACTTGTCCGGCTTCTTGTCCATTGGGTAAGTAAGCTTTAAAAGCAACTTGTCTACAGTCTCAGTCAAAATTGTTGGGACACTTTTGTGTCTCCTTGTCCCCTCAATGTTGGTGTACAAGGTTTGGTGACTGAGCCGCTTTGAGAGGGACAAGGGGAGCACAACAGGAAAAAAAACAGCGTTTGGTCTAAGTGTCCCAACTACTTTTGTCTGAGACTGTAGCAAGTAAATCTACTTGTCCGGGACTACTGGACGACAATAGTCCAATAGTCGCTTTTCCAACCCTGAGTGGTGGCAAACAGATACCACAGCAAACTTGGAGTGCATTATGGGAAGAATTACCATTTGACAAATTCGACTTTGAGATGATAGACAGAAAATCCAGGGGAAAGACAAGACCGTTCTTGTTGTACCTTCTCGCTCCGCCATAATATTGATAAATTAAAAGAATTCGAGCGATAATGCAGTGAAACAAATGAGTGAAGTTCAAGGACCACGTGTAATGCGCGTGCGTGGACCCCAAAATGTTAAAAGAGCTGAGAAAACGGATCAAACATTGTTGCGCTTCGCTTCTGCGATCACGGAACAAAAGAAATGTCGCAAGTTAACCTTGTTGGATTAAAGTTGGACAAGTCTAAAACTTTGCGCAACAACTCTCAACGATACACAACAAAGTTGGGAGATGTTGGACAACAATGTTGCGTCTGTTTACGCGGAACTTAACGCCAAAAATATCGAAATACTTACCAAGAAATGCGTGAGAAAAGTCCTGGGTGTTTTTGAACGGTGGCCTAGTTCCTGTTACTTTAGCTCCTCCGGCTTCTAACAAACGTTTAAATCCTGGTTGACGAGACTTGTCCACGCACAGGAGTACCACCCAACCACTAAAAGCACCACAGGAATACGTGCCTTGGCCAGTCACCGAGGAGGCCTACATACAGGACGAGAAAAAGAGAACCTAAATAATTTACCAAGTTCTTCGTCTCCGAAAGTATTTTGGTGGAGATCGAGCTGCATTCTCACCTATCTCCCAGGGTTGCAAAAAAATTATTCTTTCTTCAAGGGAAATATGTCTGACTTAGCCACCATTTTCGTCGGACTGGACAAAAGTTGGGTTCGTCAATCAAGGACGCGTTCCCCGAAATTTGTACCTGGTACAAACGTTATTCACCGGTAGACTTATTACAGACATATACTCAAAATGTTGCAAGAATCTTACTTTGAAGTTGTGGATAAACGAAAGTCATATATGTGAACTGCGGAGACGGTACCACCATTCACAAGCGCTCAGGGTTGGATAATGACATTGTCAAACATCATGCCAGACCACAGTTAAGATTCAATTCTAGTAGGTCATTGTCCAATCAATGACTTTTATCGTTGCCTGTTCCAGGTGTTCAGATTGTGGTGGACGGCAAAAAGAAATGTGAGTAGGAAATATAGCGAGGGGTTGGAGTGGGGAGTGAGGGCGAAGGAAATAGAGGATATTGCATGGCCGCGCGGAGGTACGAAATTTCTCTTCGAGTGTTTCAACACGAGAAGGGAAATTTCGTACCTCCGCGCGGCCATGTAATGTTCTATTTATTATATAAACACCAACGAACTACCAAACCAGTTCACTTTAATAGTTTTTTGGTGTGAAAGGCGCGATTTATTATGTAGCCATAGCAACGACGGCGATATTTTCACATCTCACATGTGAAGATATCAAGTTTTCGCGCCAAAGCTCACCTAGTATTTCATTGGTGTTTATATAAGGTTCCCTCCTCATTATTTTTTCCCACTCTTTGACTTTGCACCACACCATCTGAACGCCGAAAAGGCTACTGTCACATGCAGCTGTTACCCTCTAAAATAAGATTCACTGTTTGTTACCGCTCGTTCTTGTCGAAGCCGAATCCTCCAGCGTTGAGCGGCAGCTGCAAGTTTATTGAAGGGTTCTCCAGGTATTTCTTGGCCCCATTCATGGCGAGCTTCGTCAACAAAGAAGCCTTCCTCTCTGCTGGCTTCCAAGTACGATTTATGAAGCACCCACTTCCCAGCAGCCACCGCAGCCAGGTACTTTTCATTTCTTTAAACAAACCAAAAAACATGTTTAAAAAGGCGTTGGTAGGCTACTGTGAGTCCAGGGTTCATACAAATAATTGCAACTATTTTTTGGGGACTTTTCGAGCAATTTTCAAGGACCACCTATCAGGAATGTAATTTCGCAGATTGGCTTGCAGAAAAATGCACATTCCCAATGCATTTGAACAGTACTTAAGGTTTGAACTGTATGCTCCATCAACGTTTTTACATTTTTTCCTTGATAGTTAATTATTGCATATTAAAACAACAAAATCTTATGTACATCATCTTTAACTTCTCTGAGCTATGATTTATATTCTGCCTTGAACAACCAATGCAAAAAGCACAAAAAAAGAAAAACACTTTCAAGGCCCTACATTCAGAGTAGAAGAAATTTCAAGGACTTTTCAAGACTGTGCGAGCCCTTGACCATGATATACTGTCTGGTGACAAATTACTCATTGTAAACAGAGATTTTGGCATTCTTAAAAAGAGCTCTAATCTATTGGGTAAAATATAATTGCACAGAAATTGTCTAGTTCTAACTTTTAATTCTGAAGATGAAATCTTCAGCTAGTAACATTTTAAATAAAACCCTTTGGAGAGTTATTTTACGTGGTAGCATTCGTTTTCAGTGATTTTCCAAAAATCCTTCGTTAATTTTGACCGAGAAACTTTAACGAGAGAAAAGTTAAAATATAAAGGTTTTTAGGAAAAGGCGTTTTTGAGCGATGCACCTTAATATGCCTTGGTACTACCAAATTTATATTGCTAAGTGTCTTCACTCTTATAGGGACGATCTGGTCGAAAATTTGGGCAAAATTAGTTCCGAAGAATTCAAAAAGTCCACTTTTGGTTGACGTGTGTTGCTCAAAAACGTCTTCGCTTACTCTCCCTAGTACATGTAATTCTTTTTGCACTCTTTATTTGCTCTACTTACCTATTTGGTTTACCGACTACAACATGAGTGCAATCAGGATTGAAGTAAACAGTGTCAAATACTTGGCCTCCAAGTTGCTCGATCAGTGCTGAGTAATCAATCTTCTCTTGAGGTGTCATGACTGACAGCTGAAACTTGGGCGGGGATGAAGCACGTGTTTCTGTCTGGTCCAAGGTTGTTCCATCCAGAAGGTTAATAGGTTGAGGTTTCTGTGCGTCCTTGATTTGGAGGCCGATGGGCGGGGCAGCAGGTGTTGAGCTGGACACAGGTGAGGGCGGCTCAGATCTGATGGTTGTGTTGAGCTGTTTTAGTCGTTGTTCATTAGTGATGTTGTTACACGAGACTGTCATTCCTGTGACTAACGAATCTTTTGAGTTGGTCGTTTTCTCATTCTAAAAGAAAGCATAAAATACAGACATGAAAGATATATCATAAAAATTTAATGGGCTAGCTCCTCCCTTCTTGATACCCTAGGGGCCAGAGACATTTCATGCGCGGTTCCGAGTTTCAGTCAAATCTTATATAGTGACCCGCGCAAAAAGCCAAACATCTGTATCTAAAACATCTTTCAGCACGCGAGAAAAAACTCTGGTACCTAGGGTAACTTCTTAGTCACTCGTGTACGTAGTGGCATAGTGGCACGTCACCATCTTCGTGGACCACAAAACAACTCTAAAAAGACCATTTGAAGTATGGGCTCTTGTTATTCGTTGTACGTGGTTTTCGTTGACATACACGGTATTTCTAGCTTCTTCTATTTTTCAGGATCCTGGTACGAGCACTGATTAATGAGCCTCTCTATGGTACCTGCGGACGTAGTTTACCTCGCGCATTTTCCATCAATTCGTCTGTTTTTCAACTAAATCGTCGCACACTAAGAATTGTGTTGCGCTGTAACGCTACTGGCGATTTCGAGCAACCACGACCACAATGACGAAAAAACGAGCAAACAAAATTTAAAAATCAATATATAGGTTTAAGAAGCAAAACAAAAACTCCGAACTTGCAGCACACTTTCATAGTTGCAGATTTTTTTTTTTAGTTTCCCATCATCACACTGCTTACAACACTGTCAAACATGATCGGAATGACTACGCGATTGTTGTTTTCATTCAGATCGTCGTTTCATCGATAGCGATCGTTGCGACTTCTATTTCATCGGAAATACCCTTAGAGAGTCTCATTAATAATACTAGAAGTGCGGATCTCGCAAACCCTCGTGTGGACTCCTACTTCGTTCTATTGTCTTTTTTTCTTCTTTGTTTGTTTCATTGTCCTATTTGATTCTATTTGAAGCATTTAAGCTTTCTTTTGGTCGCCGGATGGGAAACTCGAAATGGTTGGTGGATCGCGATGTTAATTCTGAACATGTTATGGGGCTAACTCTTTACGAGGCTAATTCATTATGAGCTACCGTGAATTGAACTCAATTTCTTACGCGGCGAACTAGTTGGGGGAGAACTCACTACGGGGTGAAACCACTGGACTCCACTTCAACGGCCGTTTGATTTACGGGAGCTGAAACCAGTCTGTGATCCAATGGCGGGGAAAGAACCAAGCTCACTGTGGGTTTGCCACGGTGTAACATGAATTGAAAAGTGGATTTCAAGAGAAAGCAATGTTGTGACGGTAAAAAGCCGAACTGAAACGCACTTCCGACAGGCGTAACTCGCGACATAAGCAAACTTGTCTGCGAAGTGAGACGCACTGACAAATGTTCGTTTACCTCAATTTTTGCTCTTATTTTGAAGCCACTGGTACAAATTCCTTTAATAGTCTCTGTAAAATACTTCTGCCGTCGAAATTTATCGCCAAAGGCATTTCTTGATCACCAAAACGGCCGTAAAGACAGTCAAACCATCTGATCAAGTTGGTCGTTTGATGACGTCATTGCGGATACCAAGAGATATATACATGGATCAGAACCTGTTTCTGCATAGACTTATATAATTTACATGGTCCACAAGAGTTTGCAGGCCGCTACGATCCACGCGCATTCCACGCGAAAAGCGTGCGAGAAATTACCAAATCTTGCTTGGCCACGTTTCTCGAGGAATACCTACCTTGTTTGTTGTGTTAATCTCCTCATCCTCTTCTGCTGTGAGGTCAGGACTTGGACTACAGCCTCTTTTGAGCTGTGCCATGATCTTTTCTCGCTCCATCCTACCGGCAGGATCATCATAAGTTATTGTATCACTTTGAGAGTGCTCACTTTCATCGGTTACCACCATAAAACTGGATTTGATTCTTGACGATGATTTGTTACTGTCAACATCAGCAGCCTAAACAAAGTTGAATAAATATCAATGAGTAGAGCATTTTCTAACAAGAAAAAGAAACTTACTGAGGATCACATACACGTAGAAAGAAATGTTTCATCGTAAAATCTACATGCATCACTATCAATTTCTGCCCCTTGTCACCCTTCCAACACAGCTTTCTGTTTCATATACGTCTAGGTGTCAGATAGTATAAAATAACAACAGAACATATCTTGTATCGTACATGTAGCAGGGGCACCCAACGGCAATTTTCGGGAAAATATCTGTTCGGAAGACGATTTGAGATCTAGAATTTTCGGAGCATTTGTTGTAAAATTTCTTGCTTGCCTGCCTCTCCTAGGATTTTCGAACATTTACAAAATGGTATAATTACCCATTTTTAACGGATTTTGACCCTAAAAAAGGCCACCTAGAATTTTCGGGAGCCTTTTCCTGGCTGAAATTTTCGAGAAGGTAAGTTTTTATCCCTATAATTTTCGGATCACTAGACTTTCAGCTAGGAAATCCGAACAGACGAAAAGTTTTTAGGAGATAAAAATATGCCTATATCTACCGTTTGAATACTAAAATACGTTCAACAATGCTATGTTAAGTGGTTTTGAATTATATCCTCGTTGGGTGCCCCTGATGTAGAACATAAGAGCTAAAAAACTACAGCAAACGACTTTTGATATTAATATCTGTAGACAGGAGTTGGACAGTTACTTCAAGATCTGTTGGGTTTTGTGCCAATTAACACAGCAAACAGAAAAATGTTCCAGCAAACTAAAAATACAAAAAAAAGAAGGCCAAGAAAGAAATTGGAAGCACAAATACCTTAGAACGCAGCTTAAGCCGTGATGATGTCCGCCTTGTTGCTAGTGACATGTTAGCTGCTGCACCACTTCCTGAACCATTGTGGGATGCAAGGCTCGAGTTAGTTGATGACGTATTGCGTCGGCTTCTTCTTCTCCCTTTTCCCTTGAAAGAAGTATTACTTGTTTGAGTAGAGAAGCAGTTTCAGTTAAATTCACAGTAATGTACAAAACACAAGATTAACCTTCAAATCCCATAATGTTCTTAAATGGCCAACAATGGCCAATAATGGGTTAAACTGCTACAGTCAAACTAGTAAAGCAAACATGTACTCGTAGTGGTCAGGGGAACCCAACGAGAATATAGTTCAAAAACACTTAAACATAGCATTGTTGAACGTATTTTAGTAATTAAACGGTGGTTATAGGTATATTTTTATCCCCTAAAAATCTTTCATTTGTTCGGATTTCCTAGCTGAAAGTCTAGAGATCCGAAAATTATAGAGATCAAAACTTACCTTTCCAAAAATTTCAGCCAGAAAAAAGGTTCCCGAAAAATTCTAGGTGACCTTTTTAGGGTAAAAATCCGTTAAAAATGGGCAATTATACCATTTTTGGGGGGGTCGAAAATCCTAGGAGAGGCAGGCAAGCAAGAAATTTAACAACAAATGTTCCGAAAATTCTAGACCTCAAATCGTCTTCCGAACAGATAATTTCCAGAAATTGTCGTTGGGTGCCCCTGAGTCGTTCTCGTCCATACATCTAAAACCCCATTTGCACGCGCTAAAAAAATCGGCACGGCACGCCAAATTTTTGGCACCGTGTTGACGATTTTAAGGCACGGCACTCCCAATTTTCGACGTGTAAACGTATCGGTCCCAAATGTAGTGTGGCACCAGTGCTCAAAATTTTAGTGGTGCCTCTCGGCACGGGTAAACGAGGCACGATGCCAAAAATTTGGCGTGCCGTGCCCATTTTTTTAGCGCGCGTAAATGGGGTTTAAAAGTCTCGATCTATTCCCCAAGGGTGACTGCTTAATACAAGTTTGACCGTAGTGACTGCCTAAACAAATAAACATCCAAGTAAAGATGTATTGACATGTTAATAACATTTTCCTGATGGCAAGTATACCTTGGTAGCACCCATGATAGCTTCAACTCTTGCTTCCAGTGATTCCAAAGTGCCAGCACCCATTTGAGGATCACATTGCACCTCTTCTGTGGTACTCTCTGCCACGCCTAGTTCCCCATCTGCTATGTCTTCATTCCGTTCATTCTCTGCCACATTTTCACTTGTCTTACTTGGCTGTTCTGAGTCACCTGGATCACATTTGTCAGCTACGGCTGAGTTTACTTTCTTTTGAGGTGACATTTGTTGTTCCACTGTTGACTAGAGTTTTCAAAAAAGATACTTTAAGCTCAGCTTCAATGCCACTTTATGACACATGTAAAGATAAGCATAAGTGGACAAACGCTAGATTCCCGTTGCAGACAACTGAAACCCATTCCCCTCAAGAAATCTTCAATTTTATTTTGCAAAATACTGAAAAAAAAAAATGATATGACAAGCTAGAACTCCAAAAAAGGTTTTAAGTTAAATGGTTACACCACAGGACCTTGACAACAAATTTCAAAAATAGAACTTTTCTACAAGCACGGTGCAAAGAAAATCATTTTTACAGCTTGCTAATCGGGCAAGCTGAAGCTAGCATGTGCTAGACCAGACGCCATTTCACGTAGCCCCAAAAACGTTTTGACTAGCACAATTGATTTCACAGTTCTTCAGTTTTTTGAATTCCTCAAAAACATCACTTGCCCGTCGGGCAAGTTAAAACAGAATTCACTAGCCCAATAGCAAAATCCACTAGCCCCAGACTATCGGACACTACTTTCTTTGCACGCTGACTAGCCACATCATAATCAACTTTGCAGGGGTTTCAATAAGCACCGATGACCGACGAAACGCGTCGGCTACATTGCTCAGAGAAGTCGGCTATTTTTTCGCCCGAAAAAGAAGCAACTAGTTTGAATAATGTCATGGGCAAAAGTAGAATTTGTTCATGCGGAAATGTATGTAACTAATAGTATAATTATCATTTGTTCATTGCTTGCAGGAGTTAATTCAGGGGCACCCAAAGAGAATATAGTTCAAAACCACTTAAACATAGCATTGTTGAACGTATTAGTATTTAAACGGTAGATATAGGCATGTTTTTATCCCCTCAAAATTTTTCATCTGTTCGGATTTCTTAGCTAAAAGTCTAGTGATCCGAAAATTATAGGGATCAAAACTTACCTTTTCGAAAATTTCAGCCAGGAAAAAGGCTCACGAAAATTCTAGGTGACCTTTTTAGGGTAAAAATCCGCTAAAAATTGGCAATTATACCATATTTTAGATGTTCGAAAATCCTAGGGGAGGCAGGCAAGCAAGAAATTTTACAACAAATGTTCCGAAAATTCTAGACCTCAAATCGTCTTCCGCACAGATGTTTTCCAAAAATTGACGTTGGGTGCCCCAGTTAATTATGTGACTAATAAATCAAAATTTGACTAAAACCTAAATCTTCTTGATTAGAAAGCTCGCTCTTTTATACTCAGTTTGGTCCCCTAAATGCTGGAAATCGCTTATTAGGGCTTTGAAATTTTAAAATTTTCTAAGCGAGCATGCCTCTAGACACCCCTTTAAAATGTGGACTGTTGATACAGTCGGTTACACTGTTCAAAGCTGCTGGCTACTTCAATTTTTATTGAAGGCAGAAACCCCTGACTTTGAGGACGGAGGGGGGGGAAGGGAGGGAGGAAAGAAGGGGAGGGACATCAAAATCCCAAAGCTTGTTTTAAATAGATAAGAGCTGAAACAGTCAAGCAAAAATGAAACTGAGGCATGACATACTCACAGCTTTAGAGGATCTGGTCATTCTTCTACCCGTAGTAAGCACAGGAAGACTAAGTTTAGGATTAAAGGTGTGTGGGTACATGCTCTCATCCACTCTTTCATTCTTCTCCTGGCAAGCATAGAGCCAATGTGGAGACACAATGAAAATCCCCTGATCCTTGGCTTGGGTGTATTCCTTTGTTTTGTCACTGGCTGACCCCTGAAATAAAGTTGCAAATTAACACTTTGATGACTGCTTTGGTTACTTAGGTTCCGCAGACAACCATGCATATTTTCCTTTCTGGGCCTTTAGCTTTTAGTTTGAGCTATTAAGTTGAAAAGCAGCAGCAGCAGCAAGGATAGATATTTCCACCATTAACTCATCTTGGGAATTCTGACCAATCCTGACAGAGTTACACACAAATAAAAACAAAAAATTAATTTTGGCTTATGAACATGGGCAAAAAGCAAACAAGGCTGCTTTGTTACATCCAATTAGCCAAAAAATATATCCTTAATGTTGCAAAACTCATCTATATAAGTTTTGAAAATAATATTATTCTAATGCTTGATAATTCTAAAACCTTGAAGTTATCACAACTTGACAAACAATGATGTCACCTGGTGAACAAGATGAGTGCATGACTCATCATAAAGCCAACGATAATCGGCACCAAGAGACGTTGCCAAGGTAAAAAACTCTGTTTGTTGCTGAGCTAACTTTTTACTGACTGATAACACAATACCAGCAAGGATCCCTTGATTGGTTTCATCCATTTTCTGCAGAAATAATTCAGAATTCAACAGCTTAAGGGAAGCACTTACAGGAATTTTAAATTATCTTTTTTTTTTCTTTTTTAAATTACCAGTTATGCATGATTGAACAAAAAATTATTTTTGTTTTAAAGAACCTTGCCAGGTCATGTTATACGTAGGCTAGTAAAATGATAAACAAATCTTTCAAATTGCAATCAGAGACATGCCTTTTTACAGGGTAGAACAGGAAGAGGAAGCGAGTCTGCTGTGTGGTTAGCTCATTTGGATAAGCACTGGTCTGCCGAGTGGGAGGTCACAGGTTCAAACCCTGGCTGGACCAACACTCAGGGTCTTAAAATGTAAATCAACTGAGGAGAATGTGAAGCCTTTGCTGTGACATCTACGAATGGTTAGATCTTCTAGTCTTCTCGGATAAGGACAAAAAACTGTAGGGCCCATTCCACAGCTCTTTCACTGTTGATTCTTGTGACATGTAAAATAATCCACACTGCTGTTTGTAAAGAGTTGGGAGCGTACATAGACCCTGATGGTGTGGGACAACCTTTCATGGTCTGCGTGGCAGGCTTTTAGCCAGACTTTGAAAACTGCCCATCCAGAAGGCATGTTTTCCCATAAAATTATAAGAGATTAAGTGAATTTTCCTTGTATTTCTTTCAAAAATGGGCGTTTATAGGACAGCAGGACACCCTCCTGGTTAAAACCTTGCTGGGTGGGTAATGAAGGGGTTCATTTTAAGTGGGAAGTAAGTCATGTTTCATCCCCTGTCCCTGTGTTGAGTCACCGTGGCAAATTTAAGATAGTAGGTGACAATAACAAGTAATTTTGTAATCTTAAAAGTTGAGTAAACCAAATAAGCTGTGACCTAGAATTTACCTTTTCTCTCTGCTGTTCATCATATGCTGTCCAAGCTCCATCATCTTCACCTTCTCTTGTAGGAGGGGCAACAGTCCCAAATTTCTGGAGGGTCTGCTTGATGTTCTCAGCAAAGAAATCATCCAGAGGGAAACTATTTCTGCTACCACGACTCTTCCTACTTCTTAGACTGGCACATGCTGGAGATTGCAGTTCCTCCATTACATCAGCCAAATCAAATGATGGTCTAAATGGACGACTGTAAATGGATGGTCTCTTGATTGGCTGTTTTAGAGCACTGCTACCATCAGCAATGGGTTTATCAGCATTCACAGCAATCATATTTTCTTTTTTGTGTGGCAAAGCAGGCAATTTAGTGGAGAGCACATAATCTGTTTCCATACCAACCTCCTCTTGTGCAGTTCTTTCACTGTCATCCTTGGTGGTACTTTCTTTAGAACTTGACCTATCTTCTGTCATTCGCTCCAGTGGGTTAGCATCAGCTTTACTAGGAATGCTTACATGGTCTTTGCTAACTGGGAATTCACTAACAGAAACCAAAGTTCCTCTCACAGCACAGGCAAATAGCCATTGCTGACTAACAACAGGCAAGTTCCATTTCACAGCTGCTGAGTATTTTTTGCCATCAGGAGTTTGGCATAGCAGGTGAGTGCTTGCTTGGTAGTTCCGACTTGCTTTACGAACAAAGTATTCTTGACAGCTGGCACCTGATTAAAATGACAATCCATTGTTCAATACACTTTGTTTGTAGACGTCATTGATCTGAATTCAAAATAAATTTGCTCCCAAAAGAGCACAAAGAATTATTTGCTGAGGCATAAGAGGGTATTTACAATGCCAATCAAGTTGATGTTTAAATCCAAGAACACCTATGCTACAGGTCAAAATAACATTGACTTTAAATTTTTTGCCTCCTAAACTTTATTATTCATGAATTACGGCTAGGAGACAAAGGAAATTGAGAATCAACCTACGTCAAATCAAAGTTAACCAGAAATCAAATTTGACCAGTAACGTTAATGCCACATATATACATGTATGGGTTGAATTTGCTGCTGTACGTATGTCTCCTTTTCTACACGAGGTTTTTCTTGGACACTCAGGCTTTCCCCTCTTTTCAAAAACCAACATTTCCAAATTCCAATTCAGCCAGGAATCAGGCTGACAAAGAACTACGAAGTAGATGTGCTATCTTAAAATCATTATTCACTCATTTATTTTTTTTAATTAAACAAACCTAGCAGCTCAGCCAGCTGATACATGTGATCCCTCTCCATTCCTGTGTACTGGCTGATCGACAGCACACATCCTTCGAGTGGCTGACATCCCTTGGGAATACTGAAGGGCTTGAATAGGAAGCTATTATCTAGTGCTAAAAAGTGGCCACATTCTATACTCTGTTCTAACCAACAGAATGTTGCCTACAGCATAAGAAAAGAGACATCAAATTATTTTACCAGCTGAAGTGCAGCAACTTTGGCTGGCACTAGTGCATTACATCCATACAGCTTCTAAAACAAGAGTTAGTTTCCACTTCAACTTTATTTTTAATCTTTCAAACTTCTAATAATGAGGTGAGGAAAGTAAATATTAAACTTAACTGAAGCACACTAAAATAACAACAATACACTGCAGGAGAATATTGGAACACTGAAAAAGCATGAATCAACCAATGTCATCACCGTCATGGACTCAATCTGAGGTTCCTTTACTTCCATTGATCATTCTTTATTCAACCCAAGTACTGCTGATACTAGTACATTGAAACAGAGGGGGTTCATGCAAAAAGGCCTAATTTCACATAATAATTATCAATCACAAAAACAGCCCTAATGGAGCAAATAGAAAATTTGTCTTACCAATTGTTTGGCTTGTATTCTACCTTTAGGAACTGTATTCATAGGGAAAATAGCAAAGTCTGCCATTTGCCTCTCACTGGCTCGCTTTCCACCATTGCTTTCTATGATTTGCCAAAGGCGCTCTATATGTTCATCAAACCCAACCACTATAAAGCTTCTACCCTCCAGTAAACCACCATCCTGTTCTGGTTCATCACCTTCATCAAGTGTGGCATCAGGATCTGTACTGGTAATAGGATGATCTGAGTGGAACCAAAAAAATGGTCGTAAAATATACTTTTCAGGTCACATCAGGTCAAACTACCAGACACATCAAGGCTGTGCTTTTTCAAGAATCAGAAGGAGCCCAGGGATCCCAGAAGTAATGTTTAAGGGACTAGTTCAGCTTTACAGTGCACCAACCAAGTTTCCCACCGGGCTCTATTGAAAAACGGTCCTTTACACGAGACAGACACACAGACTGTGACTTATACATCTTCATTGCCTAGAACTGATTATTCAAAAATTAGGGCTAGGAGACAAAGAAAATTAAGAATCATCCTTCCTAGGTTAAAAAATTTTAACCAGAATATAATTAATTCTGACCTGTCACATATATGTTATACATCAAAATTAAATTCAAGTTAACATTTTGTAAGCTATTTTGATTCTCAATTTCATTTGTCTCCTTGTCATTATTTATCAATAGGAGAGAATCAACTGAGTTGGTGAAAAAATTTGAACTGGCATTTAACTTGACCTACAAAATATATACATAAATATATCTATTTAGGTGAAGGGAAATCAAACACAGTCCACGGCACATTCTGATTGGTCACATCTGTGATGTATTTTTCTATCTGTAAGACTTGTACAAACTAACAGCTTAACATCAAAGAGCTTGTCAGAGGTATCTTTTCTGCTTTCCTTCATGAATAAAATAATCTCAGGTTGCATTAAACTTACCTTTGCCCTGGCCGCCATCACTCTGCAGCTGGACTTGTTGCTCTGTGTCATGATTATTATTCTCAGTAGAGTCCATATTGTGTGGCAAGTATTGTTGGAACACATCATCATCTTCAAATGCATCATCCTCATGCATTATCTTAGCATCTCGTTTATTATCAGAAAGTTTCTGTAATGGTGCCACCTTTTTTGTTGACGTTTTTAAAAGCTTTTCCTCTGGATCTTCATTTTCCTTGCATGAAGGAGAAAGCTCCCGATGTTGAATCCCATCAGAACAGAGATAATCTGCAAAAGACAGTTAAACATTGGTTCTGGCGAAATTACCAGTTCATGAAGGATGCTGAGCCTGACCGTAATCAATACCTCTGTTTTTGTAGCTCAAAATCATTGGACCCTTGTGTGCTAATCACTAAATCAGTGATTCCTCAGAGGGTTCAAATTCTGGGGTTCCCATTGGAAATGAGGGGCATATTTACATCACAATCTGCTACATGTTTACTGCCATGGGGGTGAAGGAAAACATCACTTGTGTTCACAGGTAGATGGCACCCAGGGTCTAAATTAATTTGTACTAATTATGAAGAGGTCAGAGATGTCTTAACTCTTGCAACAACAAAATGTTTTCCTCCGGACTGTCTGCACTAAAAGTCACGGCTTGTTGAAGCATTAATATTTTGGTGAAAAAGACATTAATGCCTAATTTTCAGATGATAATCAAATAAGTCTTCTGCTTAAAATACTTTTTGGACAGTAGCTCATCATGTTGACTGGCCAAACAAATTTTAGATTGGCCCTGGCTTACTTTTGACTGGTAAAAATATGGAATTTTTTCTTCTTCAGAGAGATAGTAATAATTATTTTTGCTAAGTGGCATTCACAAAGACGCAGAATGCAGCCAACTCTACTCAGTGTACATGTTATAAATTAAATCCGTTGCCGTTAGCGATGCATCCCCTAAATTCCCTAAGGGCATTCTGGCGCTAAATTTAAACATAGGCACGTTACACGTGCATGAGCTATTTTGAATGCTTCAGTGTAACTATAATACTTCAGTGTAACCTTACCAAGAGTGATGAATCTACCTTTTTCATCATAAATGTAGATTTGGTTGTTATGCGAAGTTGGGTATTGCGCTACATAAATGAAAACGCGAAACGCTCTGCTGAGTTGATTCTCAACCTATATATTCACTTTCCTCTGTCTTTCCCTGTTACATCATTTCTGGTGCAAGTTAAACAAATTGTTAAAGTGAAATAAATTTCTACTCACCAAACGTTGATTAGAAGAAAAACGCTAAGGTTTCTTCGGAGTTTCTTAAGCCAAAATGTGACTCATCGAATACTGAATAGTTACAAAATACCAGGATTTTTATCATTGAGGTAGATGGTTGCAACATCATAATTCACGAGGTTTTCACGTGCGATTCTACTCAGTGAAACAGTCTTTAACTCCGACAACTTATTTCTTCATGTTTTAAAAGCTATTGCTTCTTAAAAGACAAGAGCCTTTTTTAAGGCATTGGTTACAAAACGAAACAGGTCTTCATACGTCCAAGTTACTATTTATCATTGTGAAAAGCCAATCTGCATGAGATATACAGTCACACAGCTGGGACGTGAAAGTGTTGGACTTTGCCCCCTTTCGTGGTTCGTACGTGAGGGAATTCGAGTTATCACACAGTAACCTAGTAAACAAAATTATAAAAATAACCCTTGCACACAATTTGCATGTGAAGATTTTGGTCTTTGTCCCTTTTACAATTTGTACGTAAAAACAAAAGGCAAATTGTTTACTACAAAATTTTCTCAAGCGATTTTAAGAAATCACTCTGGCTTCATTACAACATCTGCAATTAAACTATGTTTCATGCAATGTCAAGGTTGATAACCTAACATTTATTAACATTTGTGAGACAGTCTTTAACTCCGACAACTTATTTCTTCATGTCTTAGAAGCTATTGCTTCTTAAAAGACAAGAGCCTTTTTTAGGGCATTGGTTACTAAACGAAACAGGTCTTCATACGTCCAAGTTACTATTATTATTGTGAAAAGCCAATCTGCATGAGATGTACAGTCACACAGCTGGCACGTGAAAGTGTTGGACTTTGCCCCCTTTCGTGGTTCGTACGTGAGGGAATTCGAGTTATCACACAGTAATCTAGTAAACAGAATTATAAAAATAACTTATGCACACAATTTGCATGTGAAGATGTTGGTCTTTGGCCCTTTTACAATTCGTATGTAAAAAAAAGGCAAATTGTTTTACTACATAATTTTCTCAAGCGATTTTAAGAAATCACCTTGGCTTTATTACAACATCTGCAAGTAAATTACGTTTCATGCAACGTCAAGGTTGATAGCCTAACATTTATTAACTTCCACGAAAATTATCAAACTGCCGAAATATATTTCTACTTGTATCATGTTACTCCACTCAATGCAACAGTATCTAACTACTGTTTCTACTTAAGTTACGCATCTTTACTAAATAAAATACATTTCAGAAACTATAATACTTAGTATGCAGGAAGGATGTATCTTGTTATTCACTTATTATTCTTTTTTTTTGTTTTGCCAGAATGAAAAAGGTCTGTTGAACTTTGTAGGCGAGAGAATAATATTTTTAAAGCTTGTTTACAGGTTAACGATACTTGGTACAGCTTTCACAAACATAAGCTGCCTTTTTAACCTTCTAAAACCACATTTAATAGGGCGCATACTTTCGAATTAAAGTCTATATCTAAATATCAATTATTGCTTCATTGGAAGAGCTTTGAAAATATATGATCTTTTATACTCTACCCAGTTGTAGCAGGTGAAACAGGACTCATACTGACGTGCGCTGAATTAGGTCAGAAATGCCTTGAAGCAGCATCCATACTAAAATATGAACCCTTAAACAGCTGCATCACTGTACACAGCGTTTGAATCATGAAGATATTTAATGTAATAATTCTTCCAAACACCTGTAGCCGTAATAAAAGACGAAAAAATTGTGAAGAATCAAGATGGCGGTCTCAAAGTGCCCTTGTTCGACCTTTACCAATGCCATGTTTAAATAGAAGCCAAGATCTCATTGGTTCCTAAGCATCAACTCATAGTACCTTGAACCTTATTGGCTCTTGCAACAAACATCCCAACATACAAAGATACAAAGCCACAAAGATACATATGCTCACACCACTGACATATGAGCTATTTTTTCAAAATAGCTCAAAAATTCAGTTTGGGCTAGCAGTGGACATGAACAGAAGAATTCAGATTTGGAAACGAAGACCCGGAGATAATTCATGCTAGTGTAAGTAGTTTTTTCTAAGAGGTTTTTCATCATTTGAGCGAATTTCTCATAAGAATATTTGGCTTTTACCTTTTTCAACGAATCATTCTGTAAATCACAGTATTAATCCTCGAAATGTAGAAGTGAAAGAGGCGAGCTGATTTCAACGCGTGAATGCTAATTAACTTGAACTGTTAGAATACTGAGAAACTGAGAATTAATTAATGAATCTTGAAGAACAGCGAAACGACGAAAACAGTACATGTACTGCACTCGCCAAATTTTGTGAATGCCAGCAGCTAAAATATTTTCAAATGATATAACCATGTTTTTGTAATTTGCTGTATTTTATTTTTAGAGTTATTTATTTGAAAGCCATGTACCTGACCAGTAAAAATCACAAGCCAGCTGAAAAATTTGTTCAGAAAAATGGTCATCTTGGCCAAAAACTCTCCTTTGACCTGTCATTATTTTAAACCCTGCAGTGTTAAGACAACACAACTTAATAATGTGATGAAGGGGGAGACTGTGATCAGAATGAATGTAAGGCACTGCAAAATGCTATGGGTTAAAAAAAGGAAATCTGTCCAGTACTTGCCTTCTTCAGACAACTTTTTTCCTTCTCTTGCAGAATCCAAAATCCACTGAACAGTGACAACAAACCCCTGGAAATCACAGTTCCTCAACAAATCAAGGTCTGCATCAATTCTGTCTCCAATAACAACATGAGATACAATCTCATTGATCTGGTTAAACCTGGTCCCTCCTCCACAGTTAATAATCTTCCTTAACTTCTCCAGTTTATGACCACTAAACCCACTTAGATAAATCTTGCATCCATCCAAAAACATGTTACCAGGTTGGAGCCGTACATCAAAGTCTGAGCTTTGTGTGTCATCTAAACGTGTTTCTCCTAGTCTAGAGACATTATCAAACCTTTTCGATTGATTTGACAATGATTTTTTATTCCCATTACTCAAGAGGTCATTATCTCCATGTTTCTGAGCACTCTTGTATGCCGCTTCAGCAGCCTTATTGGCAATTTTCTTGTCAGTGTTGGTTTTAGAAGGAACAGCACTGTTACCTTTAATTAAACCATAAGATACTCTTCGCCCAGCTTGAGAACTGTTGTTTTCATCATCAGGAAGAGTGTAAAAGTCTGCCTCATCAAGACAGAAACCTGACTTAACTGAGTCATAGAACCACTGTGTACAAACACAGTGTAGATTCCATCGTCTTGCAAACTCGTACTTTTCTCCTTTTGGTGTGTCAACAAGAAGGTGTGTGCAGGTGTTCATGTTCAGTTCCCCAGAATATGTTCCGCCATGGTCTGTAACAAGTCGTTTGATTTCTTTGCGTCTGTCTGCCTCAATCCCTGTCACACAGAGAGTGATACCTTTGAACGTCGGACATCTCAACTTCATGAATTCTTCATCTGTTGCACATATGTGGTCATTACGACACATATCCCAGCAAGTGTAAACCCACTCAGGCAATAAGATTGGTTTGTTTACATTGCAGGCAACACGATATTTCTGTGAGCCTACTTCACCAGCCACAAGATGAGTCACTGAATTGGTAAAATCCTTTGACACAGTTCCTCCCATGAGCTTAATAAGATCATAAAGTTGATCCCTTTCCTGTCTTGGGACACTTGTGCATGTTACAACAGCACCACGCATGGCCACAGAGTACACGGGATACTGTAAATTTGGCAGAGCAGTTTCTGTTTTCAGACAAGATAAAAGGCACTGAGGTCCAACAACACTGCAAGCATTCTCTTTTAACAACTCGAAATCTTCGCCTTCAAAACGTTCTAAAACAAAAACGGATTTCTTCGGCTTCAAATCTAGATTTTTTAAATCACCCGAAGAAATCCATTCGGTATCTAGTTTGAATTTTTTGCAAGCTTCCGAAGCCCGCCGAAGATTACTGTCCCTCGTGTTATCAATGCTAATAAATCTCAGAACGCGATCTTCACCACTCGCCATTTTCTAACGCTTGAAATTGACGATAAGGTAGCAATTAATTCGCATCCGCCATATTGGATTATCCGGAGTTGGTTATCATGAGTTTTCTCTGGTCCAAAGTTCACCAAATAATTTCCAGTTTTAATGTTTATCACATTCTGTCCAAAATGACACTCGTTGGTGGGCTTTCGTGAATCAAATCACTTTGTAAATAGTGAAAATTTCAAGAAACGAAGACGGAAGCCTGATCCAGTTTTTTTGGCGGGAAAATATCACACATGCGTAGAATGTTCGAAAGAAATATTTCCCAAGATTCTCTGCAACACCAATAGTATTTTGCAACTTCCGTCACTACTGAAGCGGTGGAAAAACTGTGGTCATTATTTTTGGCTGATTTTACGCCCTCGTAATCATCAAAGTCATCTTACATTTTGAAAAGAGACTCCTTTCGGAAGTGAGTATCAGTTCAGTAACAAGCTGAATCGGAAGATCCAAGATCATGCGACTAAAGCGTCCTGAAAAAGTTTCTTCGAACACAGCAAGAAGTCAACAACAAGACAGGCCAAATATAGCAGTCAACGTAATCTAAAGAAAAGATAGCGAAATAAGGTAAGAACAGTGACAAATATGGTTAAAATGAGATGTTGAAGCTCAAGAATAGTTTCAAGTCGTGAATAATACCGATCAAGGTGTACAAATAATTGTAAAAATCAAATTGATCAGCGAACGTGCGGTACATTTTGCATGCGATCTTGCAAGTATGCATGATTACCGCATTTGACCTTTTGCCTTCCAATAAACGGGTGAAGAGCCTTCTAGCCTCTCTCACAAAAATGGAATTTGAGGTAAAAGCTGCCGCTCAAAACTTATCTGAGAAGCTCTTTTTTATTGGTAGTTAATAATAGTCGTGAACATTAAATTTTATTATTAAGCTTAAGTTTAAATTAAGTTTGTGAATGATTAAGCTCAAAGGGAAATACGAAAGGTACAGTTCGTCCATAGGCCCAAAAACTAAAGTTAGTTTCAATAAGGCTGAAGTAAGGCTCAGGCCATAATCCTTTGTTGTTTTAGGAAATGTTCTAGTTATCGGGTAAGATTATTATTTATCACTGGGTGATTAGTGAGGGAGTTGTATGAAGAATAATATTATTAATAGGAGTGTAATCATACAGTGAGTTAAAAAAATTTGAATGGCGAGTATGATGTGTTTAGTCATGAATATGATTACAGACTAGATTGACAACAAAGTTCTGGTACATGAACCTTTACATGCATTGTTCTATTAAGCTACATATACAGCTGTAGATGATCTCTTTTTGTGTGACCAACAGATAATACTGTGTCAAGACACATACCTTACTAGTTTCATTAATTGAATGAAAACTGGCTTTCCAAATAAAGGGTTCTTTTGTTTCATTGTTTGGTATGTTGTAGCTAAAATCTGTTTTCAGGTTAAAAAAAAACAAGAATTCCCTTTGTCTCCTATACATCTATCCTTAGTTGGGGCTAGGAAATGAAGGACGTTTAGAATTGAACCAGGTGGAATACTGGTTTAATCTGAGAATGGACTTCACCTTCAAGAGGTTCATTGTTTATAGACATTATGTAGAATAGTCAGTATCTGGAACTCCATGGATAGCGACAGTTCTTATGACTCTTGGGTCAGTTTCTGCATTTAAGTTCAATCTGAAGCATAATCTTGTCAAGGATTTTATAGATTCTTTAGTATTTTATCATGTCAACTAAATTTTAGTGTGAATATTTTTCTTAGCGTTTTTAAGTTGGTTTTTTTAATTAATTTAAATACATCATACTTGTGATAAAATATTATTGTAAATATTTTTAGCATCCTCAAAGTAAGTTTTTACGGTAGTAAATTATTATCTTTTTAGTTGTATGTAATTTATTTAAATTATCGTCTTTGTAAAGCCTCTATGAGGAAAGTCAATAAAGTATGTATATGTATGTACATTAAAGTATTACATCACTAATAATGCATCAATAAAATATTTATTTGATTTGTTTTTCACAGATTCTACAGAGAGCTAGAATTGCAATGCATATCTATTTAAAAGATGGACATCAACGGCGCTGGGTAACAGACGTGCATCTTCAAGATGGATTTTGTCCTTGTATTGGTAGCAGCCTCACACACCAATCTCGTGAAGATGTGTCTCAGTCACTGGAACCTGCAATTTGGTTTAAGGTTCTTGTGTTAGAGTCAGTTTCAGTAGACTGTGGCAGAAGGATTGTTAGCTGGTCGACAGGAAATAACTCAGAAGGTCTGTCAAGTCATTGATTTTTGGTTTTACCACCATTCGCAGGGGCTGGGTTGAATCAAACTCCTTAGAAAATCCTATATCCAAATCAGCTGATATGTAGTCTTATTTATTATAAGTCCCCCGCTAACTTGTTTTGAAATGAATTCAATTTTTTACAACATTTTGTTGCTTAAGAAAGCAATCAAATTCAAAAAAAGTATTTTGAAACACTTGTTAATAGTCTGGTTATAAGCCCTCTGTGAATAACCCCCCACATCCCCCCGCGGTCGGAAGTTTACAGTAATGGAAATTGAGGTGGCATTTAAAAAAAAATGATTCCATTTAGTTAACCCATTCACCCCTGGAAATTTTGCATTTTGAAGCTAGCAGAGTGTTTTTCTTGTCACTGTCATGCTTTAAAGAGCTAAAATTTACCATAAAGCTATTTACAGGTCGTAAACTTCACGGTCTTCTGATCCAGATGCAAAATATTAGCTTGCGAAGTTTGGGCATGTGCAGAAAGCAAAATGTCAAGATAGTTTTTGGATTTAAAAGTGACGAATGTACAGCAGTCTTGACTTTTACTTTTCTTTTTCTCTCCTCTCCTCTCTTTTTGCTTTTCTTGCCTCAATTTTTTTCCTTTTGCTGAGCATTAAGTAGACTTCATTTTGGTGGGAAAAGTTTTTAGGAAAGCATAGGATTTTAGGATAAGATGAAAAGAAAGGTAGGTGGGTAGTGGTGGAACCAAATTTTCATCGAAATTTTCAGGTCAATGTTACATGGTTTTTTGCCTTTTTCTCCACTTTCCTGGACTGAATCGTGCTCATTCTGATATGGTTTGAAAGATCTCTTCACTCTGCACAAGTTAGCAGACAAAGTTGTCCTTGCATGACTATTAAAAATCAAGATGTCACAAGGGGTAGAAGGGACGTGGATTTGCATGGGTGGCTCGGGGGTGAATGGGTTAATTAATGGAGGTGTAAAAATCATTTAACAAAAATAACCTACCTACTCAAATTAAAATTAATGTTTGTAATAAAATAATAATTAATTTAGGTTAATTTCATGCAGTGTTAATGTCCTACGATAAGGTACAGCTGTATACATTGTATCTGTGCATTTGTAATCTTTTCTGGTTTTGTTGTTGTGTTATTGTTTTGCAGACTCTGAGCTCTGCAATAATCAGAGAGCCTTTTACATGGAAGGAGAGTGTTATGATTATGATGCTGATATAGATGAATTGTTCCTTTTGGCTGGAAAAATCATCAGTCCATCTAGCATGGGTCATGAAGAGGTACATGTAATAAGAACGGTTGAAGTTCCTGTGCAGTCTGATATACAGTAGAGCTATACATGTATTTGCTGTACCTTTGCATGGAGAGCTGGGGTTTTGATTGAAAGGGGTTCATGAGTGTTGAAAGTTTGTATTTGAATTGAGTGATAATGATAATAATAACAATAATAATAATAATTGTTACTATAAAATCAATGTCAGAACCTACAGTCAACTCCCTCTAAGACGGACACCTTTGGGACCGGCAGTAAGTGTCCATCTTAGATGTCCGTCTTATAGAGGGTCAAATAAAGGGAGTAAAGAAAGGTAGGGACCAACTCTAGGTGTCCGTTTTAGGGAGTTGTCCGTCTTATAGAGGTATCCATTAAGAGAGAGTCAACTGTATTCATTGCTGTTATTAGCGCTTTTATGAAATAATAATACCCCCGTAATAATATGTATCACCACCTTGAAAGTCTAATTGAGATTAAAGTGCAAAATCAGCACTGCTTGGTTGAGCTAATATCCTGCCAAAGATGCTTTTTGTCTGAAGTCATTGACTTGATAGAGAGAACAATTTATGACAAGAGCTCCAGTACCAATGTTTACTCTGAGAAATAGAGGATGATAAAAATAATAACAAAATAATGATAATATTTAGTAATCAATATAAGCATCTATTCATTGCCGTCATTAGCACTTCTGAAAATAATTATCTCTTGCCTTTAGGAGGCACACCTGAGGGTAGGTGAGAAGGAAAAGGTGTATAGACTGGAATAGAAAAGGGTGGTTGAGCACCCAGTGGACCCGCCCACACATACAGCACCACCACCCCCAGATCTGTCTCTACTTTGGTTGGACAAAGCTTTTAGTAAAATATTTCTAGTCTGTGCTCTGTTTAGAGTTCTTCTGTACTTATAATATTATTATTCTTGCTCACCAATAGTTCAGGTTGACAGATCATTGCATTGCTGTCTATTTTAATCTACTTGACCAATAATTCTTACAATATTTATATCATCCCATGTTGGTTAAATTATATAGAATGGAATGTGTGAGCTTTCTGAAAAAGATTATGAACAGTGCCTTCTACGAATGCTACACTGCTACATCCTGCCTAAAATAACTTTGCATCAAGAGGACTTGGATAAAGTCGTCAAAGCAAGAGAGAAACAGGTTCAAAACATTGAAGCACTGGACTTGAAGGTCATTGAGGAGTGCAAGAACATTGATGCTTGTGAGTCACGGATGGAGGACTTGCGGACTCAGTTCTTTCCTGGTTTGGAAAGGTTTCTAGATAAGGGACGATGTTCTAAGGGTTTCCTTGAAGTGCTTCTTGAAGATATCAGTAAAGAAGAACCCCGGTTACGACAACAGGTGAGTAAATTAACAAACTATTAAGTTAAAAGGTACAGTAGAAATTACAGCACAGGACAAAAGTAAGTTAACAGTCGCATCTCATTTCCTGCGCAATACACTCGCTATGAGAATCTTGGAAATTCCAGGTGGGTCACAGGCGGCCCATGCAAGCTTACTACAGGAATGCGGACGTGATTGTTGCTTGCGAGCGGTGTTGTGTTACAAATGTAGTTATTTACAAAGGCTTGTATAGGATGTAAACGTTTTTTCTTAAAAGAGAGCAACTACTACCCTCGGCGGGCTTATTTTAGTTACTCGACATACTATGCGAGCGTTGAACGGGTTGGATCAGTCGATTGAAGAACAGTAAAATAAAAATTTCCCTTCAAGGAGCAGGAGGTATACAACATAGGCATTTTAGAATTGAGAGTTTTTATTCTCTTTTTCATTTCCTTTATTTTTGTGGTTGAAAGTTTGACTTGTTTATGTGATCATATTCCTGCTGAAATTATGGCATTAAGAGGCCACTTGCACTGAGAGGTCATGTGACCAATGTTTCCTTTGAACAAGAAGTTGGAATCTTGCTGATACCAAAAATTGACAGAGCACATAAAAATTGGAGATATTTTATGGTACTTTGATTTTTCAACAAAGTAGTATGATTTGTATTGGCCGCCATGTTGGAGGGCATACTCATGGCAGCCAAAACTACTTTTTGCTTATATCTTGTTAAACGTTTGATAGTTACGCTCAGATGTGCTGTAAACATTACCACATCATTTTTTTCAACATTTTCCTTGAAGTTTAAGTGCAAAATTTGTGTTCAGAAAAAGGTGATTCATAATTTTAAAAATCACATTTTGGTCACTGTCACGTCGGGCGCCTCCATATTTACAAGTTTGACCAGCTAGTATTTAAGCTGAAATCAGTACATTCGTCTTCCAACCGATTTTTGTTGTCCTGGTTGGCCAAATAAGTTCTTACTCATTTTAAAGAAAATTAGCAAATTCACAAAATTTATATTATTTTTCCAGTTGTGTTGCAAACATTTGATATGACCCACTAATCGTTTTTTACTCATTTTAAGGCCCAAAAAATCATATAACTCTCATTTTCATAAAAATGATGTCACATGACCTCTTAGTGCAAATGACCTCTTCCATCAACATTACAGCCATGGAGATGGCTACCCACCTTTTTTTGAACAAATTGCAAGATTACTCATCAAAGTAAATTGACAGACATAACTTTATCTTTATCTTTTACACCCAGTGTATACAATCAAACCCATACAATTGAACACCAATCATTTGATTGGGTTTGGTAATCGAACTCACAGTAAAAGTTGGTCAGTCGAACAAATCGGATGTTTGATATACCGAGCGGTCGACGGTTGTACTCAATCAAGAACAAAGTACCCTATCATTAAACAAGTGCATTTTTGTGGAAATTTTGTACCATGAACTGTCCCCCTAAACCCCCGGAATCATTTGTTAGTGATTTGATAGGACAATTGTCACTTCGGCATAACACCCCATAATAGGCACGTGGTCGGGGAGAATTTCTAAAGTGAAGGTGAAATTACAGAAGCCATTTCCTTCCCACTATTATAAAATGTAAACAATTATGCATTTCAGTATTAAACTGTAGTTTTGTTCTCTTGTACATATGTTTAATTGAACATTGACATTCAGCTTGATATTTGGACATGTTTCTACTAATCCCATTCAATAAAGATCAATTATGATTACTTGTGTGTGATTTACTTATCAAGAAATGGATTCCAAAGGAAATCTAATCAGGTTGCATTATTGATTTTGTTTGATTAGTTTGATAATCGAACTCACAGCAAAATAGATCTTCAGTCATGTTTGATTACCGAACCACATCAAATGATTGGTGTTCAATTGGGTTTGATTGACTTATGGTTCGATTTTATTCAATTAGATATGCCAGGATTTAAAGAAATAAGCAATATTTTGTAGTTTAGGTTAGCGATATTTACATGTACAGCTTAGTTGAGCAATATTTTGTAGTTTAGGTTAGGTTACTTTGTAGGTAGTTAAGGGTTATCTTATGAAAACAGCCCCACTTTTCAAGAGGGGTCGGCGGGCCTGTGTCATTTTTGTGGAAATTACGGAAAGGTAGGTGGGGGTCTTAAGTTTCTTATAAAAAATGGAAAATCCATGAAGTTGCGGGGGGAGTTGGGTTGTGAAATTCCTTCCATGGTGGGGGCAAGGATATTTTCTGGAACCACACGCTACACATTTCTTATTAAAAGTTTAAATTTTGTGTGGATTGCATGTGTGTGATTGAATGTGATTTGAAATCAATTGTGCAAAATAGTACTTTTCCAAACCCTGAATCATAGGATTTCATTTGTTTTAAAGATTGACAAGTTACAAGATCAAGTGCAGACTGCGAAAGAAATGTTAGCAAAGAAGCCCAGTGGTGCAGCTCTTGTAGAACAGCTTAATGTTGCAAGACAGAACAGAAATGATCAACAGATTAAACTTGAGGCTCTTATTATGGCAAGGGAGCTCATAGTAGATGCACTGCCACAGGTATGTGACTTTGTACTTTTAAGTCCCTTGCTTGCATGGCTCGAAAAGAATTCCAGCTTGTCTTTTCGACCATCAGGTAGATCTTCTCATTTTGCTTGCACAGTTTTACACTGTACTTCTTGCTTGCCTTTATAGTTAATGATTAATTTTTGTAAAAGGATCTCCCATTGGGCAAGTAAGCTTTACAGTGCGACCGTGAAAACCATGAGCACTTGAAATATTTCAGGAATGTTTATTGTATGAAGACCAATCACAGCAAAGATCAGGACATGCGAGCAAGCCACAAAACCACAAACTAATTAACATTCTTGCTTGCGGTTTTCTTTTCTCACACCTGATTGGCTTTTTCCTTGCAACACAATGACATTCCAGAAATATTTCTGGTGTTCATGGTTTTCCCGGTTTGACTGTAACAGTTACTTGCCCAGCAAGAAGACATACTTGTCCTTGTCTTGAATGTTGCTACATGTAAGAGTTGAAGTGAGTTGGATAGAGGCTGCATCCCTGCTGGGCTGCCAGACAGGATTTTGCGAGCCTTGTGTTTGACTGAAAAAAGGCCTGTCTCGTTGTTCTCTGCTCCCCCTTGATTTTTTTTTACACCAGATATATTCTTATACCTCTGTAAGGGTAAGGACATTGAAGTTTATTTGACACTTAAGGTTCTCCAGAACTTATAAATCTATCATAATGATAGCTGTTTGTTTTCTAACACTTTATTTGATAAAAGCAAACATGATATAAAGTAATATGATTCCTGATGATGTAACAGCACCCTCGCAAAAGCGAGGTTTATAATTTTGTCAGAATTTGCATCACATGTGGAACACACATGATTGCTTTAAGCAAAACAGAAACATAAGTTGAGCATTTATTTATTGAATCTTCTTGGTAGCCGAGTTACCTAGCAAAACATCATAAACAAATCCCAAAAGACGCCATTTCACCTTGCAGGCTATTTTATGGCTTTATAGGTCAGGGGATATGTTCGTTGGAAGTGTGTTTCAGTTCAGCTTTTTGACATTAAAACCTTGCTTTTCCCTGAAATCTTTGAATTCATGTTACGCCAAGGTAGACCCGCAGTAAATTGGTTCTTTCCTTGCCAATGTGACCAATGGGTCAATTACTGGTTTCAGCTCCATTCATTGATCAGGCGTTGAACCTGACAGTGAATTAAGACCGAAATGATGAAAATGGCTATGAAATACGTCTTTTTCAGGGCTTCTGATATTTCGCGGAAAAAAAAGCAAAATTTCGCGGGATTTTCAGGGGCAAATTCGCGGAAAAATCGGCCGATTTCGCGGGATTTTCGCGGGGAAAACAAGTCGAAATTCCCAAAAAAATCAGCCGATTTCGCTGGGGTTTACCAGCAAAAAGCCAAATTTCGAAGGATTTTCAGGGGCAAATTCGCGGAAAAATCGGCCGATTTCACGGGAAATTTCGGAGGGAAACTTCGCCAAGAAACAATCAGTAAAAAACAACCGATTTCGCTGGATTTTTTCTGGCAAATTTCGCTAAAATCGATCAATTTTGCGTCGATATGACCAGCGTTGTTTAACGTTTTTTTAACAGGAATAATTATTTGCTCTTTGAACAAAAGTTCACTCGAGCAATCAGTGAATGCTAAAGCTATTAACATTATGGTTAGTGCCCAGTTTTTCGCAACGTTCATCTAAAAATGCCTGGTAGTTTTAGGACGTTGTTTACCCGCTGCAGTGAGGAAGTTTCGAGATAAATTTGGACGTTTGGGGTGAATAAAACAGGTCTAATAGCCAAGATAAGTATTATATATGTTTTTCCGACATGTAATCGGAAATATTTCTGGCGGATTTCGCGGGATTTCGCGGAAATACCTGAATTTCGCGGGTCCGCGACCACGCGAAATATCAGAAGCCCTGTCTTTTTACAAACTAATTTTTCTTAAATGTATCTTAGCATTCATGATAAATACAACTCCACCATCTTCAAACAGTGTCTATGCCAGAGAAATGTATTAAATAATTTACAATAAATTTAATAGTGCAATTAACCCAGTGGTCAGAAAGCTGACTTCATGTGCAGGTGGTTGGTAACAGGGTAGGTTCAAATCTAGTCAAAGCATTTTCTCTTTTTTGTACATATTTTTTTATCCCGTATAGTTTTTGTCTTTTTGATCAAATTGTTTTTTCTCTTTGGCTTGTTTGCCCATTCTCACTGCTGACCCTTTACAGCTTCATAAGGTATTTGCAAATATGTATTATGTCTAGTAATAACAAGTAAATAAGTAAAATTATGGGTAAATAAAGGCACCGTCATCATAGCTTAAATGCTTCACCCTGTCTCTCAAAATATTTAATGCACGTGTGCTAAAATTTGAAGTTTTCAGGAAGCCCAATAGCAAAATTGAATTTTTCTTTTTTCGGAGAGGTTCCCAGACCCCTCACTCCACTTACCCCCACTTGTGAGGACTTTTCCATTTAGTACCCAATAACTGCTGCCTGTATAACTTTTTCCCCTTAGTCCTAAAATTTTTTGAAGATCTGCTTGTTGTCCAAATAACTTATTGATATCTCAACAGACTGTGGATGTTGGGGGAGTCGTGGTTGGGCATTACTTGCTGCATCAGTACCTTGAGGAAAGAAAACAGCTTTTCAGTCGTAAAGCAAATCGCAACAGACTGCTTGAGCAGAAGGTAAGAAATGACAGAGGAAGTAAACTTGGCTCCTTTAAAATGGCATGGAGTAATACTTAAAGTCTTTTGTTCGTTGTTTTATTTGAGCGAGCAGCAAGGATCAGTTAATAATTATTACTAATAATTATATATCTGTTAGTTAATCCAATATTGTCAGAAAAGCTATTGTCCTTTAATTTTTACAAACTGTCCAATTAAGGATTAACTTGGATAGTTTCAGATAGGGCTTTCCTTTACAAATAGGCAAACTGTCCAATTTAAGAAAAATAGGACAGCTGGTCTGAGTCAATCAAATGCCAGAAAAATAATACAATTTAGGCAATGCAAACTAGCTAATCAGTGCAAAGTCCCTAAAAAAGGTTTGTTGGCTGACGGCGGTTCATCGGCGAACACTCTTGGCTTCTTGTTGCTGTGAATGTCATTTTGTTTTGCTGCTGTTTTGTTTTGGCTTCTTGTCTGGGTCATTTAAAAGGAAAATGTATGACCAAACTGATGAAAATTTATATCGGAAACAATCAACGCATAGATTCTTGAAGATGTACAAGCACTGAAACTTTGGACAAGAATAAGAAAACACTGATACTTATGTTTAGATGTTGGCATTACAAAACAAACGGACAAAGTCTGTAGAAATCGTTTGAGGATATGAATGAAATGTTTGTTTTCAATAGTTTTTGTATTTAAATGAAGTATTTGCGTTGTTGCTTTGTCTTCTTTGTACTCAAAATTGTGGTTTTCACCTGTAGCACCGTATCATTCAGATCATTGAAGGTGCTTTCAAAATTTTAACATTGGCAACAAAATGCAAAAGTATGAAAGAGCAATACTGGTTCTACATTTGTTTCTAAATAATTATTTGTAAAGAATAAGTTGAATGAAACCATACGAATAAACCTTTTTTAGATCTTGCAGTGTATTTTTGTTTCAACTACAAATGGTTCGATCGAGTGTACAATATTTCGCATCTGTGTGACACGCCAAAAAAATCTGGATTAACTAACCAGCTATATAATTAGTAAGTAAGAGGACTACATGCTTGTCCAATTTGGAGATAATTGAAGTCAAAAAGTTCCTCTGACAACCAAATTGGACTCGGCCTACAGCCTCGTCCAATTTTGGCTGTCCATGGAACTTTTTGTCATCTAATTATTTCCAAATTGGACAGAATGTAGTCCTATTACATATACTTATTATACATTGTACTCACTATCTGTCTTCTCATTGGCTTAGAGCTTACAGCTAATTGTGGAAATCAGTACAACCTACAGATTAGTTAGTTATCTGCTAGCAGATAACTGACTAATGTGTAGGTTGTGCACAGGTAACCCAGGCTCTGTGATAGTACCACAGTACGGTTCCAGTAAAATTACAGTGTTTGTATGGGGTAAAAATATCATCCTAAAATTTCTAGGAAATACTAAATAAAGATCAATGAAACTTACTCTGCAGTTAATTGTTGTTGTCCTTATTGGTCCAACGAAGTTTCGTGATAATTTGAAGTAATTTGTTCAAATTCACTCTATCTACAATAATAATATACAAGGTAGGAAACACGAGGTGGCCATTTTCGCCGACATGCTCTCATTCAACACAACCTTTTCCACGAAATTCGAACTCCAACGGAAAATAAACATGCCAGGATCGTAGAAATAGGATAGCAGCAGATATAGAAACCAATGAAGCTTTCTCGGATAGAGAAACGAATCCCACAGACTTGGACAAACTCGAAGAATATAATCCAAACACACCGAGAATACGCTCGCCGAAGCAGCCGGGCCAGATCAACGCGCGGCCAAGAAAATGAGGCCTGGGCACTGTGCAAAAAATTCCATCCCGGGAGTCCTGGGGTGACCTTTCTAGGGACCGATACATCATTTGCCCAAAGCCACCCTCCCTGCTGGAAAAATACTTGATAGAAGGCAATTGTTCTTCCTAGCCAATCACCATTTGCCAGAGCAAACCCGCACACACGCGCCTGAATTTAAATGGCTAAAAAAAAAGTAATATAATCAGGAGAGTCTGCGGAGTTACAAGGCGTCCCATTTCTTTTACTAAGGAATGCAAATAACAGTAATGAAACTAATGAAATAACAACGCGAAATGCTTACAAGGCGGGCTAAAAACAAGGTTGAACAAAAGGTAGATGATGACTGAGATACTGTTGCTGTGAACTCTCGAGCGAAACTATCGTAAATAAACGGTGAAGCTTACAAACTAATGTCAAAAATTATACAGAAAATTGCGACAGAATATGAATTGCGATAACTGAGACGAATGTGAAAGGCACGTGCACTAGTAAACAAAGAACTAGCGCGATTAACATATTTAGCGATTAATGCGGCAGTAACACGCCGACTTCTTGTCAATACAAGTGAACGCTCTATCGGTTAAATATGTGAATCATCGTGATACACCTCTCTTTGAATTTGGTCCTATTGTACAAATGCCTCGGTAAGAGCCAAAATTCACTTATATCTTTTGCTCGTTTTAAGTTTTGTAAATCGTCCTTCGTTGTTCTTTCCTTTGCCCTTATAACCTTGCCCTATTGATGTTTGATAAACTTTCTGAGGACCAGCGCCAGGAGCTGAATATAGTTCCAGAGGAAAATAATCTCTTTATAACAGGCCATAGTGATTGGCTAGGAAGAACAATTGCCTTCTATCAAGTATTTTTCCAGCAGGGGAGGGTGGCCTTGGGCAAATGATGTATCGGTCCCTAGAAAGGTCACCCCAGGACCCCCGGGATGGAATTTTTTTGTACAGTGCCCAGGCTTCATAATCTTGGCCGCGCGTTGATCTGGCCCGGCTGCTTGGCGAAAGCGTATTCTCGGTGTGTTTGGATTATATTCTTCGAGTTTGTCCAAGTCTGTGGGATTCGTTTCTCTATCTGGGAAAGCTTCATTGGTTTCTATATCTGCTGCTATCGTATTTCTACGATCGTGGCATGTTTATTTTCCGTTGGAGTTCGAATTTCGTGGAAAAAGTTGTGTTGAATGAGAGCATGTCGGCGAAAATGGCACCTCGTGTTTCCTACCTTGTATATTATTATTGTAGATAGAGTGAATTTGAACAAATTACTCCAAATTATCACGAAACTTCGTGGGAGCAATAAGGACAACAACAATTAACTGCAGAGTAAGTTTCATTGATCTTTATTTAGTATTTCCTAGAAATTTTAGGATGATATTTTTACCCCATACAAACACTGTAATTTTACTGGAACCGTACTGTGGTACTATCACAGAGCCTGGGTTACCTGTGGGTTGTGCACGCAATGCATGATTTTCAATAGCAATATCAATTCAGGTTCCTTGCGACGTTGTGTTTGTCATTATTTTCTTCAAAACAATGTCTAATAAAACAATTATTACATTTGGTTTTTGTGATATCCTAAATAATCAAGGTCTCGGTAAGTGTTATCAACCTCGGCCTTCAGCTTGGCTGATGACACTTTCCTCGACTTTCATTATTCTGGATATCACAAAAACCTCATCCAATAATTGTTTATTATTACATTGGAAGCTCTCCTAACAGACACTCTTAGTAAGCGGACAGCTGTACTGACGGCTGCATTCACAAAACCCTGTTTTTCTCAATTCCCATACGAACTCTGTATTATTTTCACCCTCTCAAATTAGCCACCTCCTGTTACAGACACCTTTTTTGCATCCCGAGGGTGTCCATGCACTCACGAGAGCTTCCACTCTACAAATCTAGTGTCATTGCATAAATTATTTTAAATAGAGTGGTGTTGGTTACAAGTCCTTGCATTATGAAGATTGTCAATGTTATAGTCAGAAAGAACACAATTCCTGCTTTACAAAATTAATTTCCTTAACATCAAGTTTGATTATTAATTGGATTTAATATAGAACAAGATAAAGCTTTTTTTTTTTAAAAAAAAAAAAAAAAAACCTTCAAAATTTACAAAGAATTTGCATTGCCCGACACACTGTCCAGGCATTTCACATTAAATAAAAATATTATGTATATTGTTAGAAAATGATATTTTGTAGTTTTGAATGGCTGTATCTTGTTAAATATTGGCTCGACCAAACTTTTGTATTAAAATGTTGGTGTGCTTTTTCTGTCTACAGTGTAAAGTGCATGTGGTCTCCTGTTGATAATCCCGTAATACACAGACTCACACCCAGTCCCCCTCAGTTCTAAAGAGGCCAGTGATGTAAATTATTTTTCACATCTCATGGGGAGGAAGGTCTCTTGTTAAACATTAGAAGTGGAGGGATTAATCTCTTAACGTTTCACTTGAATTTTTTTTCATATTAATATGTTACAGTACATGTACCATACACAAAAACACAAAGGCAAATAAATACTAGACTGAGGATAAAACTGAACTACATCATCTATCCCCAAATAATGTACTTAAGAATCAAATTATATACTTTTTATGCTTTATTCCTGTATTTTAGAACTGTGCGCTAAGTGTGAGAGAAATGTTGGAGTCTGCCATCAAACAATTGATAGAGAAAGGTTCCACTGATGCCAATGATGCTAATGCCCTGGGAACAAGGGCTACAGATGGTAAGAGGCCGCATAGAATTTGAAGTAAAGGAGAGTTATATAAGTTCATTTGACAAAAGATAATACAAACCTTAATCTTGTATTGGCTAGCCTGTGCTTCTCTTGGGTCTCCTGTGCCTTGCAGAGACGGGAAACATTCTACACATACATGTAATCTTATTTCCTGCAAATTTACCATACGGAACCCTACTGATGTATTTTCACAGGAGCTGCCTCCTCACCTACATGTAGGCTTCTCAAATCTTCTCTCCTCTAACCCTATAGAAATACATGTACCTGATAGCTGCCATACTGTGACCACAGAAACATCTTCCCCAACTTCTACTGCCTTTAACAGCACCTGCCCTAAATGATCAATGATTCCATGAAAAAATATATATTATTAAAGCAGTATTACGGAAAATCAACTCTGAACTCAGAAACTGTACAAACAATTTTTTGGATGCCTCGGGGTCGGGGTGGAAGTGGGGAGGGTAGGAATCTTCAATGCCACACAAAAGTAAACCTGTATTTCAGGTCCTGTTGTTTTTCTTGTACTGTAATAATGAATAAAATGCAAATAATGAAAGGTGGGAGAGACAGCTGTACGGAGAGGATAGAGTCAACTACTTTTTAAAACATGCATTTTACTTTTTCACAAAAGGTCAGAGAATTAATGAACTGACTTTTGTGGCAGCCAAGAATAATTGTGCAAGAAAGACAAAAGAAATAATGCTGGAAATATTTTTTGAATATCCTATTGTATCCTTTTTTAGTGTAAACTATAAAAGGCAATTATTGTTATGTCATCCTTAAAAACCATACTTTTAAACTAACTGTCAACATATTTTTAATTTTCTAGTTCTGCAAGGAGTGTGGAAGCCTGAATGGCAGAAACTGGGTGAAAGAATTGCCACTCTGGTTAACAACGAAGAACACCCAATTGGAAACCACTTCAAACTGTTTTGCAGGACAATCCACTCTTTTTGTCAAGAGTTTATTGAGACTGGCAAATGTGGATCACCTTCTGAATTCACCCCATCATGCTCCCCCTTTGGCAGGTCATGTCCTGCTGCTAGTAATTGTGAAATGTATGGCCTGGAGGACTTTGTAGTACAGAACCATCGACATAAGCTACAGTTATTGCAAAATACAATCTTCAAGCAGCTTAATACTGCAACAGATTTTCTGTCCGAGTTCTTTAACAACAGGGACACTCACTTTAAGAACAAACTGAGGCTTTGCTATGAACAGTGCTTTTACGACAAAGAGCACAGCTTTCTGGCGTGTGTCTATGAGCTGGCACATCATGAGCATGTGGACAATTTAGAGCGAGATGTTCAAAGGCTCAAAAGACTACCAATCAAGTTGTTGAATTTGCAGATGAAGGATGAGTGGTGGCTGGAGTTGTTTGAACAAAGGTCACATCATGCATCTGTTAATCTAGAACATCTGCGGCCTTTTTCACAAGCTTACATGAATGGAACTTTAGATTCTATGGATGTCGTAGATAATGGTCTAAGTGGCTCTTATGACATGCTTACTGAGTTGGATGAGTTTGGTGTTGAAGCTGAAGAACTCCCTCCAGCTAACGTGGATTCTTTTCGAAGCTTATGCATCAGTGCCATTCGTGATCGCTCAAAAACAGTAACTGCCAAAGATGCTGAACAACCAAGTGACAAACTCGATGCAGGTCATCCAAAGAAGACCAATGGTGCAGCTGAAGCTATCATAAGTTGTAGTGCACCAGAACGGTCAATAACCATGGGTCAGCTCATAAATATTTGGGAAACAACAGGTGAAGCAGATGAAGAAGAGGATAGTAATGCCTTCAGAAGATCACCATTAACAAGAACACTGTCTAAAAGCCAAAGTGATATTGACAAAAAGTCAAATCTTATGGTTGAGGGAGAAACATTTGAAGACAACTTTGGCTCTGCCCTGCAGAACATGAGAGACATTTTCAAGGTGACAAGTCCACTTGCCAAGTTAAAATGCTTGACATCTTCCCTTCGGAAAATCACCAATGCTGTGCAAGAACTGAGAATGCGTAGCGGGAAGGATACATTTGCGGCAGCTGTGAATGCAGAGGACCTGTTGCCGCTGCTTGTCCTGATGATGCTCCAAATGGACCCTTGGGAAGTTGCCTCCATGTGGCCACAGTTGGCATTCATTGAAGATCTCATGGCTCCATTTCTGTCCTCTGGCTGTCATGGCTGGGCACTGGTTGAGTTTCAGATGGCTCAGCGAATTATACATGAACTTTGTCAAGAATTTTAGCAACTGTTTCCCTACTCTGTTCAGTTCTAAGAATTTGAAACGTTTGGCAATAGGGTGTACATGTCTAATTGTATTTAAAACTTTAAAAGTTTAATGATGCAGCAAGTATCAATTTTGCCCATACAAATTAATGCATTACAATTCTTTTGAATCACATACATCTAAACATACCTTACTACCTGGACTGCAGTCAATCTCACAACACAAATCAACCACTTGTTTTCTTAAAACATTTCACCATAATGCATCATTTTTGAAGGCATTTTTAGTTATAATTCTGTGAGTACCAGAAAATGTTGATCCATCTTTAAACCAATACATGGCCTTCAAATCAAAACAAAGTCTTTTCTCTTCTTCCTTTTCCTTGGAATCTGAAGAAAGAACGCCCTAGAACTAACTCAGGTTGAGTAGATAGGATTTCTTTCCTAACTCAGAAGTTAATAGTATAGTAATACAACCAGGTTCAGTGCAATATGTTTTTATTTGAGCTGAAATCTTTACTTAGATCAAGCAGAAATGCATTCAAATACAGCGTTTGTTATACCTAAGAATGATTACAGACAGAATCGTATTACACAAGTTAATCAATCTTAATCACAACTTTAACAGAATTCTCAAGAAAACAGTGTTTTGTTTCTTAAAAGAATAGAATAATTCTATTCTTATTATTGTCTTTGTCCATACATGTACATGAGAAAAAAAGGAAATATTGAAGTGAATACAGCCTGTGAGATGATTCATTGTCTAATTATGTACAATTATTAATGGTACTTAGTATCCAATACACTGTTAATGCCAAAATGAGAGTCATAGTCTATGAAAATGCAATCATACAAAAATCTTTCGTGAAAGCCTTTTTTATTATTATGATATTTAGCATGTAAGAAATACTTTTGACAATATATTATTTTGCAGGTAGAAGAGTGTTAATTTTTCCAGGCTTATTAATTTTTATTTTTTTCAAGGTAGTAAGCTTAGTCTCTATAAAGGCATATTCTGCTCTTTAGATGTAAATATTTTAATACTGAGTCTACAGGATAGTCCAGTATGCATGCACTTTAGTGCAGAACCAATTTAAGTGGTTCAGTCCCATTGTCCACGACATGTAAACTTTCTTGTTGGGCAAAACTTATCTTAGTTCACTTGCCTAATGGATGGGCAAGAGTTCAGGCACTGTCCCCTCCAAAGAGGCCCAGCTGCTACTGTACTAAGGTTAGGGAGAGGAAAAAAAAGAGAAAGCACACATGGGATGATCCTGTGCAGTGGTGGATCCAGGGGGTCCGGACCCCATATCAGACCTGGTGCTTGTTTAAGACTCAAATTCTTACATTGACAGGATAGTATATCACTTTTTAACAGGCGAATATATATATATATATATATTTTTTTTAATGAAACGTGTTGCATTTTGCCACTAAACTAAATTCCAGAGATTTGCCACAAAACAGTTCAACAGTCCTTTCCAAAGTTTGCCCCCCCATCAAAAATACCTGGATCTGCTCCTGCTGTGCAGTTACCATAATGATTAATAATTATTTTTTAAAAACGTGCAAGCCTCTGCAGAGTAGAGACATCTAGGAAAGTCATCTTGTAACTAACAGTAGTAAATTTTACATGTAAGACATGCAAAGAATGGCCCTAGACTTGTAAAAAAATGAGAACTGCTTGTCTAAAGGACGCAATGGAATTCAAGTCAAAATATATGTTTTATGCAACAATTTATTTTTGTTCAGCAAACTAACACAGTAAGACAAAGTGTTCTTATTTTAACAATAATACTTTTGAAATGGATAAGGAAAACAATGTTTAGTTACTGTAACAGATTTTATGATCAACAGTTACAGTGTAGGATTAACTTTATGCTGTAGTAGAAGAGGACAGTCTAACCTCTGTAGTACAGAGATATTTCCTCTCTAGTACAGTAACAACCTGCGACTATGAACCTGGTTTTTAAGAACCCCTCTTTACAAGAACCTGTTGAGCCTACAATTTGAAGCAGGTTCTTATTTTCTAAACTCTATAAAAAAAATTCTTTACACTTTGGCAAATAAGATAAGTCAAAATTCAGAATCCTCTTTGGACTAGCCTACTGGTACTACTGGCCTACTTTGTGCTAATTAACATTATTTTTATGTTTGAACCTGTTTAGGCTTATTAACTTGGAAAAATGCAGGTTCTTAGTTCACAGATGTTTACTGTATACCATAAGACTGTGGCAAGAAGTGATAGCTACAAATACTTTGTATGATACATCTGTGTTTACAGAATAGGTGCTTATAGGCCCTTCAAAACAAACAGCAGTAAAAAGTGGCTCAGAGTTTGTGGCTGCCAAAATAACAACTAGAAAGACATTGTTAATGATATATGAAATAAATCATATATGAACTGCGGAAATGAAATGAAAATGAAGAAATGATCGTTGCAGTGAATGCAATTTATGCAATTGCGTAAAGAAGCCTGAAAAAAAAAATTCAGGACTACAATGGGGTTTGAACCCGTGACCTCGCAATTACCGGTGCGATGTTCTACCAACTGAGCTATGAAGCCACTGGCTTTGGGAGCAGGTCAATAATTATTGTGGGTTGAAGTCCTGAATTTTTTTCAGGCTTCTTAAATTGCGTTCACTGTGACAATCATTTCTTCATTTTCATTAGAAAAACATTCATGCATATTTACAATGTATAACAGTTTGACAGCCACGACTACATGCAGCTGAATATAATTATTATAATTTCCATAAATGGTCATAGCAGGTTGTCTCGAGGGGGACACTAAAATATCCTTTTCTAAGTCAGACATATCTCACATTGAAATCACAGAAAAAATTCATAAGCAAGAGGTTTCAATCAACAAATTTAAAGGTCACCATAGAATGACTTCACCCACAAACTTAAAAATTAGAAAAGAATTAGACAGTTTAAAGTATGACTTAAAGGAGTAATTATTATATGTGTTTGACTCTAGGAGCTGAAAACATTGATGAAGTTAAAGACCCCGAAAACCTGGTGAAACATGGTTTTCTTTAACATTTTTGTCAGACATGGTAGGTCTGACCTTAATAATGTTTATTTTTATCACAAAATCGTCATTATTTTATTAGAATTTTAATACCAAGCTCTAGAAATCACTGTTTTAGGTGATGTTTCTGAAAATCCTTGAGATTAAACTACATAGTTAATTCTTGATACTAATCCATGTGACTTGTACAGTAATTAGCACCCTATTTTTGTAGAATTTTAAATATTGTGGAATTTTGTCAATAAAATTTTGTATAAAACATACTAACTTGATTTGCTGACATGTTAAAATAATATTTTTCTTCTTGAGTTATTGTTTCAATAAATTCATTCTACATTGCTTCTTTTATAACTTTATCTCTTTCAACCTTTGAAGCCCAAAAATAGTGACCAACGTCCAATTTCTCCCAACAATAACATTTCCTGTTCAAACATTTCGGTCATGAGAATTAATGAAATGATCACCAAAGATGAACTGTTGTGATGTTCGAACAAACTCTCTCCAGCATTACCATAAGGAATGTGTGAAGAACAGTGTGGAGAAGATGCAAGTTGATGTTGGGGCTTAAAAGGTTTTAAAATACAATTATCATGAAGTTACACAAATACAACTGACTTTGGGTGTGTTCCTTTCGGCGAATCCAAAAACGGATTTTTGATCCTAGATTTGCCAGATTTTGCGGTCGAAAGGAACGTGAAATCCGAAAAAACCTTGGTTTTAAAAATATGCAACAGCCTCTCAAGAAATGACGTGTTCAGGGGCGTAGCATTTTGAAGATTACACAAAATAAATATTAAATTATGCGAACTGACTTTCGAATAATCAAATTGAAACAATTGAAAGAAGCGCATTTTCCTTATCAAAAATGTCGGGTTTGATCCATTCCGTAGCTCGGATTTTTTTTTATGTAACACGATCGAGTGCCTGTCGCGTTACAAGCGAGTTTGTAGTCAGATAGCAGTTCATTTGTTACTTTTAAACAAAAAAAATGGATTTTTAATAAAAACATATATCCCAAACTAAAACTAATGGCGTCTATCGGAATACTTCATTAAAACCGCTGGTTCATCTGACAGAACCAGGAGGATATCACTAATCCGTTAATCTGGATTTGGATTCTTCGGATTTCATTTAGAATCCAGGATTCACCAGATCAAAAATAGAATGCACAGTCTTCCATTTCTCAATTAGACAATTGAGACTGTTTAAAATTATCCCAAACTAAAATGTAAATAATTCAATTTCATCTGTTTTTTCGTGTTTACTTCATAAAATTCAGTTCAGCTGTACCAGTCAAGGAATAGCAGAGAAAGTGAACACATCACCAGAAAGAACAGAATCCAAACTCTGAAGCTGGCATTGTTCTTAATTGCCTAAAAATGTTTAAAAAATAAAAGGATTTTTAAATGAACAGCCGAGAATTGAAAGCTTTAACTTCCCAGCTTAGAGGCAGAAGAGAGGGAGAAAGGAGAAACTTACCCTCTCTCCTTACTGAGTACCTCTCCCCACCCTTTACTTGTTTTTTCACTCCCCTGGGTTTTGTTGTGATGCCTAGGGGCGGGGAGGGTACTCCAAAACTTTTATACAGGGAGGATTCACCTCAGGTCCAACCTCTTGTTCTCTTACATATCATCTTTTTTTGATGGAGATCAGGGAGAAAAGTTTCCCCTTTTGAATACCTTTTATTGACACGGTACCCCTTTCACACAGCTAGTTTAGAGCTTTTCATCCATTTTGAACTGATGTAGATGCACTGTCAAATCACTAAACAAGAACGTTTTCTTGTCTTTTTCACAGTCATAAAACGCCCTTGTTAGCCACAGATTACAATGACCAATTTGAATTCCCTACCCTTTCATATACTTCAACTATAGTTAAATCCCTTTCATATACTGGAAGCCTGAAAAAGGTACCCCTTTTGGGTGGGGAATCCCCGTATGGGCCATTATAGGGAGTACCCCCCAGGTGTGATCCAATAACTTTATGTATTAGTTATACTTGAACTAAAGTTAAATCCCTTTCATATACTGGAAGCCTGAAAAAGGTATCCCTTTTAGGCAGGGCCTCCCCGTACGGGCCACTATAAGGAGTACCCCCCAGCTGTGATCCAATAACTTTATGTATTAGTTATACTTCAACTAAAGTTAAATCCCTTTCATATACTGGAAGCCTGAAAAAGGTACCTCTTTTGGCCGGGCCCTCCCCCGTATGGGCCATTATAGGGCGTACCCCCCAGGTGTGATCCAATAGCTTTATGTATTAGTTAAAACCATACCTCTCTAATCTGTTCATTTCCTCCTTTGACATTTTCTGTTGTCCCAACAGCTGTTTCATATATCCTGTCTATCTGGTCGGACTTTGAAAAAGTTTGAAATAAAGGTAAGAAAAAAACAAGAGAGGATTGGAATTTGAAGTTTCTATTCTCTTTACGACGTTCAATCGTCAAATAAGTTTTTCAACAGCATGGGTACTTGGCATTCCAAGGCAAGATCTCTCACCTGGTGTAAAACCTTTTCAGAAAATATTTCTTGCAGCTGAGATATTTCTACTACTCTTCCTTCTATTTGCCTACATGTCAAAAGAGAATACAAAGTATTAATTTAATTAAGGCATGCATGCAGTTACAATTTTTAAACTTTTCAAGTGTAATCTCTGCATACAACAGATTGCCACGAATAAAAGACATAAGGTGCTTACACTTTACACAAACCACCCGGTTGGAAATTTTGTCCATGAACATAAAACTACAAAAATTACGTATTTTGATGTGGTGGGAGAACGACCCACTAAAAAGAATATCCCAATCAGTTGAACAGACTGAAAAGAGAAGAAAATGCTGCATCGATCATCTCAAATGACAACCCATTTTTTCTGTAGCTTCCCAAACTGAATGGCATATGATAAACCACTGGATTGTCCAATTGAAACTTCCAGTTTTCCCATGTACAGTGGTAAGTGTCCATGACCCTCTAAAGGGCCAGATTAAAGGCCCTATAGGTGTCAAACTTTCAAAAAGTGACTCTGGGGGTCAAGATTAGAGGCCCTGTATGTAGGGGTCAAAATTTTAAAGAGTGGCTGGAGGGCCAGATTAGAGGCCCTATACTTGTATAGGGGTCAAAATTTTAAAGAGTGAATGGCCTTGAAACAAGGACAGATAAAAATTAATGGCAACCAACAAAATGATAGGTTGAACCATGACAGCAATGAAGACATGGACAAAAATGTACAGTAGTAAAGAACAGTCACTGACAGGGGCATGGCTTAAGAAGGTCTCAGATTAGGGCTCTTAATATGTTTGAAGATCTTATAGACGCGGGTCCAAACGGTTTGTGTAGTGTAAGGGTACAAATAGACCACTTCCTTAGTGTTAACAAACGCAACTGTACATGTACAGTGTACGTACATGTATACTATCATACTAAACTCTATACTTATGTGGCTTGTAGATGTTATGGGGTGTAGGGGTTCAGTTTTATCCTTGGTGCAAATTTTATGTGACTCCTGGAATACATCCCTGGAATACACTGTAATACTTATAATGTGTCACACACCCACCTTACTTCATCCACCAAACTGTTCATTTCAGCAAATAACTTCTTATTTTCCATTTCAAACTAGTCAGTTTAAATAAGAAAATTCAAAACGTACTTTTATGAGCATGAAATGTTTTTTGAAAACAATCATAGACATACATTTACATCTACCTATACTTCAGCTGCAAACGTTTATGTTTAAAGTAGACCAAGCCGACATGTATCCCTGGCAGATAATTATTTCAAACATGGCTTATCCTACAACCCACAATTGGTTTAATATAATCTTACTTATAAATACATGCACCAAGCTTTCCGCTTACATTAATTAAGAGGTCATGAAGCTGATGGTTTGTTACATGCATACTGGGGAGGAGCATTGCGTGACGATAGAATGAGGAAAGCAGGGGAGCGGCTACCCTGGGATCCAGAGGATATTTTTTTCTAATTGACACTGAATATAATTCTTATGCATAAGCAGACCTAGGAGTCTATAAAAGGGACTACTCTCACCCCTCCCCTTTACCTGTGAAATTTTGTATTACGATAAGAATTCCTGAGTATATTTATAAATAATAATGGTATTTATATAGCATTTAAGTGTCTCAGTATCCCATTTGAATTTTCTAGATCTGCCCCTGACGGGTACTGTATCAACTTGATTTAAAACTTGTTCTAAATACTCTTTCATTACGAATAATTTTTAAAATAAAGTTAAGACTCTGATTCCAAAAATTACCCAATTACCTGTAGATGTTTTGATTAATGAAATGATGAACTCCTCTAATTACTTTATCAATATATATTATTCATGAAATATATTTCAGCTTGCTTTGTTTTTGCAACAAATTAATCATTAACAAAGTAGCTTCATTGTCCTGTTATAAAATTAAATTAGTTCTTATTCTTCAAAACAATATAATTATAAAATAGCTTTTGCAATACCATATAAAGCTTGTTTTTGTTGTTGTTGATGATGATTTGTGTCCAGTAAAATATATTAACTTACCAGCTGTACTTCCTCTGGCGTCAGTTCTTCACCTTCACTGACAGATGGAGCCATTTCAAGTTCCGGATGAGTTGTTGTTTTGCCTCCTTTGGAAGCATCTTCTTTGGCAGTTGATGTGGCAGAATCCAAAGAGCTAGCTGCTTGCTTGACTCTCTTTTGATCAGGCTGAAGACGGGAACTGACAATCAAAGGGTGAAAAAGGCATTATAAGATCACCCCAAGGATGGTGGCTTGTGGGGATCTGGGATTTGACTAGGGGTTACCTCAGAAGTACCAGTACAAGTACACAAGGGACAGTATCTGAGGAAAAGAAAGGGTGAACTCTATGTATCATGCAACACTAGGCAAAAAAGCATGAAGTCAAATGTAAAATAAAACAGTTAACCATGTTATATTGTGAGTGCTGAGTAGTAAGCTAAAGACACTCTATGAATCCAACTGAGCCACAAGGCCAATCAAAGCTACAACCTGCCTTTGACTATCCTATGGCTTGGCAGATAGACTGTGTACTGTGTGAATTGATGAAGGAGACTATACTGGGGTTTGAGAGGGGGTCTTGGTACCTTAGGGAATCTTTATAATAATTATTCCTAGACTTGCACTCAACTAAACAGGGACTGCCATTGGTTGATTCTTGGTCACATGGCCTTGACTAAAATCAAATGTATCCCGATCGTGATACATTAAGCAATGTACCCCGCTCAGGCTACATATTTACAGCATGTGATCAAAGCATGGTGGAAAGTGGCATGACAAAAGGCGGGAAAAACACTGCCAGATCCTGCCAGTTTTTTTTTTTCCGTGAATGAACACAACAACACAAACACAAAGCCTCAAGCTAAAAAGCAACGATTTGTAAAGTTATCCAAGAACTTCCCAGAAGAAAAACAGCAGCTAGTGAAGGAAAATGATGCAGATAATATAAGGAAGGTACTTTGTAAATCATTCATTCAGTGGTTTTGAGAATTAAATTTGTGTTGTTATAAGTACCGAGTCGACTGTTTTGGTTCTCTCCGGTTATTCTTTTGTTGCTGTTCAGAGAGGTCAAAGTCTGGAAATATATTAAAACAAAACACTTAGTGTCAGGTCCGTCGCGAAACCAGTTACTTTTGTTTTCCCTCAAGTCCTGATGGACTCTCAGGAAAACAAAACTAACTCTTTCCGTCGAGTTCTGACATCAAGTGTATGTATTACAGCATACTGCGTCAAGTCACCCAAGGCTGGAGACTGAGCCTAAATTTTAGGCTCAGTCTCCAGCCTTGGGTGACTTGACGCACCCTCGTTACTCCCTACTCCAGGGAATACTGTGGGCACATCAAGACACTTAAGGCTGGAAACTGAGGGCACTTCCCATTTGTCAGAACTGACCGCGGCCAGACCATTCCTGTTGCAATGATAATTTCCTTTTTAATCAAATCCTGAATAGTAAGCACAAAGGGTAACATTTTTCATCAAAAACTCTTTGAAAAAGCCTATTTCATTTTCAAACTGTCGAGTCAGGCATGGTTTGGCCAGCCAGTTCTGACAAATGGAAAGTGCCCTGAGCCTATATTGTCAGCTGCTTCTAACTTACATTCGTTTCTTGTCCACTACTCTCTTTACCCTGATTGCTCTCTGTTCACTGTACAGTCTGCAAACAACTAGCGGTAAGATGAAAAAAATACAAAGACTTTTTATTACAAATGACAAACGGAAGTGTAAAGTGGAATCCCTACTCCAGAAATGCCTGGGTGGAAGAATCCTTGTTAATTAGACACTGGGCTTAATTTGCATAGGTGCAGGTGGGACTGAAGCTGTTGGGATAGTGATAAGGTTCAAGTCACAGCTGGACCTTTATTCATGCCTGCACACCTGTAACAGAATAACTTAAGCCCCACAGGAAATTGGTTTCAATTCTTGAGAGGCTAGATTAAAAAACTCAGGGGTAAAAGTGAGGGTACAATGTTTAACTGCGACAGGAAGCTTGTATACAATGTATAGAGTTTTGATTTGAATAACAAGGAGGCTCAAGAAACCAACGAGTTTTGGAATACATGTACAGTGTTGGTTTATGTCATTTAGAATAAATCCATACTTTTTTCTGACAACTACCAAGACCTTAGCAAATAAACAAACAAAATAATTTATAAAATTTGTTTTTTAAAATTTATTTTTCACTGCCATAAAATGGTTATTCCAGGGCTGTCAACTCTCCCGGATAATCTGGGAGACTCTAGATTTTGAACCGTTTCTCCCAGTCTCCAGATTAGAGTCTGATTATCTCCCGGATAATCACTGAAGTTTGCCATTTCTTGTAGATTCGACTTTCTGACAATGAGATTTCAAATATTTGAATTTGATAGTTACTGTTAACATTGAATGTCTCCTCACAAACTCCAATATGCCGTTGTAATATAAGCAATAATGTGATTGGTGGGAAGTAAACCAATTAGGTCAAATGTTACAATTCCAACAACATCTTTTTCGCGCATTTTTTTTTTCACAAATGACATCACGGGCCATGCATTATGACATCATCTATCATCTCTTCCTCATCAATTTTCAATATTTGATGATGTGGTGGGGTTGACAGTCCCGTTCTTCTATAACAATTAAAGTAAAAAACTATAAATATCTAAAAACTATCCTGACTAGTATAAAAAGAGTCTAAGTTTAAAACGTTCTATGTAACTTTAGTATATACACACTCAGTGATCTTGGTAATTCAAGCAATCTGATTGGTTAGCTATCTCAGACTATGACGTTATATTCACCGCGCTAGGCGGTGAATATAAAGCAGAACAAAATCGCTGTCGTGAAATGGGTGTTTTGCCAAAGTTTCCTAGTAAAGCCTTTTTGAAAATACACGAATATCCAAGAGCTGATGACTTTCAAGGCAAGAAAGACTTCATGGCGTTTAAACAGCGTGATTTGTTGCGAAGCGGTTTACTGTAGCTGACTTTTGTACGCTCAAAGCTATGTTTACCACTACAGAGGAAAACGAGGTCGCTTTGTCACTGTTTTGTGATTTCGGGATTTTCTCGCAAGACCAATTTTGCCTACAAATAGAAGTTAATTTATGAAGAAAAGAGGAAGGCAAATATTTTCGAAAATTGTACGTGCCAGCAAGTTAACAAGGCAAAGAACATTGGAGATAAACAACGCTCACCTCGATCATAGCCGCTGTTGACAGCATTAATTTATTTTGCAAGAAGCGACAAAGAAAACTTTCTCATTCACGGTGAGTTGACAAAAACAAATAAAGCTCTACTTTTCTTCTCAGAATTGGGTAGTAATATAAATTTTCGGCGTTTTCTTTTAAACCGTTGATGCTAAAGCTTACAAAACTTGATACAGAAAGATTAAAACTATCATTTGCCATGTTTGAAGATACTGGAAAGATCTAACTTTTGCGCATCCACTGTTTACGGCTTCGTGTTCACGCATGAATTCACCCGTCAATCAAACTAGTCGTTTTTTAATGGTTTCCTTTCTGATTCTGTTGAGATCACTTCGTGTGAATATACTAAAACAATTATTCATCTCAGGCTCAGTTAACATTGTTGAATAATCCCCTCGACTTCGTCTCGGGGATTATTTAACAAATTATATTAACTTCGCCTTTGGCAAATAATTGTTAAATAATATTCTTCCAAGCATGACTCTTAAGAGCAGCCTTAATCAAATTATTCATATTTGTTAGAGTCTGAGGTATTATTCATTCCAAAGCTGAGTGGCTCTGTATACAAATGACTGCTGGCCGGTAACTGATCTGAACAGCTGTTTCTGTGTCTAGTACAATGAATTTGCAGCACAGATATGCTGTGGCTAGTTCGTGCAAACATTTAAATGAAATTACAGCATCTCTGACTACAAGTTGCCGAGCAACTGGCAACCATTGGAGTTGCTTTAATATGGGGGTGATGCAGTCAAATTTTCTTGCCCCGGTTTCAGCCCTAGCCACAACATTTTGCACTCTCTGAAGTTGAGCAAGCAGTAGTCAAGAAACATGCCAAAAAACCTCACTTTACAGAAACTGTTTTACAACTTCTTACTGGGTTATTGAGTAAGTGAAAAATGATTACAAGGTTGAGGTACATGTAATCAGGGGTTTCAATAAGCACCGACGGCAGACGAAACACATCGCCTACTTTTTGCTCGTAGAGGTCAGCTACTTTTTTCTAGAAAGAAGAAGCAACTAGTTTGAATAACGTTGTAAACCAAAAATATATCATAAAATCTGAATGAAAACGTAATTATTATGTGTTTTCATAACACAAAGGCACACTGGTTTTACATTATGCTTTAGTTATGTGAACGCTACATTTCAGTCATTTTTTCACAAGTTTCTTTAAAGGTTTAAAAAAGTACGTAATTTAGTTCATTTGTTTGTTGCTCGCATGAATTGATTGTGTGACTGATAAATATTGAAAGCTACATTTTCTTGAATGAAAAACACACTCTTCTGTCCTCAATTTTAGTCCCCAGAATGCTGAAAGTCATATTTTAGGGCTTTGAAGTTTCAAAATTTTCTGGGACTGAACACACCCAGACCCCCTTCCCCCACCCCCTAGAAAAAGGGGACTAACGACCCCTTGTTGATACAGTCGGTTACTTTATTCAAACCTGCTGCCTACTTCAATTTTTATTGAAACCCCTGTGTAATACATGTATCTCAACCTTGTAATCATTCATCAACTTTAATACATCTCCACTTCTTTTGTCCCGTAAGTAAAACCGAGCCAATTTTATCATCAGTTTATTAACACATTGTGCCACACATTCAAGCCCAGTTATTCAAACGGACTTTTCAAAATATTTTATAAAAAGATGTTAAAAGCTTGCCTTTTAAATACTGTCCGAGCATTCCAAGCACAGCATCTCTGTGAGTCATCACTTGATCACTTCTCTTATGCTGCAGTGCTATCAAAAATAACACGTTGTTGCTTTAATTTATTCTACTTAGTTGCAGCAGTTTCTCAGTGGTTAAAGTCCATCATAATCTTATGCTATCATCACAACAATTAATTAAATTGCTCCAAGAGAAAAAGTTCCCTGGCCACTTAATTCCTTTTTGGAGAGGAGGCTTTACCACCTTGCCCCACAACCAGCGTACAAAGAAAGCTGTGTCCGATAGCCCGGGGCTAGTGGATTTTGCAATCAGGCTAGTGAATTCTGTTCTTAACTTGCCCAAAGGGTAAGTGAAGTTTTCTGGGAAATTCAAATTAAAGAAGAACTGTAATCAATGCTGCTTATGAAAAACATTTTTGGGCTAGCTTAAAAGACTCTTGGGCTACAATGGAGGTCAAAAGTATTGGGACCTTTCCAGAGATACTACTAAAACTAGCGACCCCTCCCCTCCAACCCCAAACAAAGTTGAATTTGGAGCAAAATGCGTGCTTTTTTTGGCCACAACATTGCTAGGGGAAGTGGGGAGACGACAGGATGAACCCAAAGCCCAACAAAAAATTGTCCTTAGGAGCAGGGTCCTACGTAACAATTGCTTGGAAGGGCTTTTCACACAGTCCCAAGTTTTTTTGTCCTCCATTGTAGTCATACTAGCAGCAACTTGCCCGAATGGCAAGCCGTAAAACTGACTTTCTTTGCACCCTGACAACAGTCACCAGATATAAAATGTTGATTGTTTTAAAACAGATTAATCAAACTGGCTACCCAACTACTGAAATCAAATTTGGATGTGCACACGACATCTCAAGGCTTAATACCCGGAGAGCCTGCAGGGTGAAAGAGAAAATAATTATATTTTAAAGAAGATGGACTACAAGTAATATCTAGTGCAAATTTTTCAAGATTTCAAATGAACATTAGAAAGACTACAAAAACAAACTATTAAAATCATCAACTTGTACATTTACAGGTACATGTACACCACCAAAAACACATCACTTAATAGTCAATTGGTGACATTTAATTCAATTTTGTCCCAAAATTTTGTTCTTCTTGCCATGGCAACCAAAACGGTCACAGGTTGTGGCTGTACAGTCATGTACAGTGTATGCTTAGGTAATTTAGCTTAACAATAGAGTAATAAAAAGAGGTGTCATGTACATGTAAATGCAGTGTCTCTCTGAATATTTACTTTTGTAATCATACCTTCAGACTTGAGAGCCTCTATAGCAACAGAACAGGTTCTCATGTATGTTTCAGCATCTGTGTCTATCTGATCCCTCTCTTCATCTGTCATACTGGACACCTCCAAACTCAAATGACTGAGTTGCAAAAAGTTTTAAATACATTACCAATACATTCTTAAGGTATAAGAACTGCTATAAAGTCAAAATATGATCATGCTTATAAAATTACTTATTTGAAAAGTACTCTTAACCTGAACTCAAAATTCCGAAAAGGAAGCATTTTTCGTTAAATAGAAGCCAAGAAAATGAAGGCCAAAGTTGGTATCTAAGAGCGCTCTTTTGGAAATATTAATAATCACAGGCCTGAAATCCAATGCGATACTCATGGTTGTTGACAGAAATGTTGCAATTTTCAAAACCTGGCACGCGATAACACGTTTGAGTCTCAAGTAAGCTAAGGCAAATTATAGCAAAATTCTCTTACATTCTGCTTCCAAAAAGAAAGTACAATTGTTTTGATATTTCTAAGTCATTTCTATGGCTGTAAAAAGCCTCCTAGAGACACATTAGATATATGATCCTTGCAAGGTCGATGACAGATAAGGCCGTAGTTAAGTGACCTATTTTGCAAATTAGCACGTTGCTAAGACTAAAACATTGTTTATAACGCCATATTAACAGCACGTCATGAAATGAGTTCAAAGGAAGATTTTCGCATTTTCTTGCCACTTTCCGTGCTACAATCGCGTCACTGTAACAACAAAAAGAACAGCGGTAATTTGCTTGTAAGAATTCAAGATGGCGATGAAGAAAACAGCATAGCACGACGAAAATTAAGGGTGAATTATGGGCAATATTGTGGCTGCGTTGGACCATACTGAAAACAAATTGTGTAAAAATATGAGGATTTATAATACCGCATTGAAACTTGCCGGGTTTATTCAAATAATGTTAAGGAAAAATGTGTTAAATTCCGGCAACTGCCAGAATATTTTGGAACTTTGGCGGCGGTCTGAAGTTATAGGGTATTACAAAAAAATTCCACCTCTATATCTCGGGAAAAATTAACTTACTACTGCCAGGAATTTAATGGTAAATGAACAATCTAATTATAAGTTAGTTCCATTTTTTTTTATTCCTAGATATTGAGAGAAAGCCGGAAATAAGGAGTTTTTTAATTTTTGATCCTGCGATATATAAAGGAAATAACACCTTAGGTGAGAAAATTGACACCTCGAATATCAATTTTCTGAAAGCTCAGCTCTCGCTTGATAGGACTGTGTAATTTTTATTTCTCAAAATTCTTTATTATTTGAGAAACAATTTTTTTTAAATGGGACGGTTTATAGGAGAACTACCTTTACCTTTATTAACGACACCATTTCACTTAACAAATGTATGAAAGTACCAAAATACCTAGAGAGCATTAATTATGTACAAAAATTACCTGAATGGGCTTATGTAGTCTTTCTGATGTTCTAGAAGGAAATCTCTCAGTTTGGTAATGTTCATGAGCTGTAAGTGACAAATGAGAATATCAGCAGTCTAACGGTTAAAATGACTACTTTGAAACCTTTCCAAATACAGATGGAGAAAATATACAGCTGAAAATCCTTCACAATAATTAACTCTCATCCTACCACATCTTTTGCTTTACTTCCAAACTCAGTTCGTCTTCTGCTAGTACTCAGAATGTCTCTGCTTGTTTCCTTGACACCTAGCGCCTTATTTTTAGTTCGAATAGTCTTCACAGTAGCTTTGAAAAGCGCTGTTCTATCCATTTCACCTTAAATCTCGGCGAATTGCACTAAAAATTGAGTAAATCTTTGAGAAAACTCTCAAATGAACCATTCGTTTCGACTGGGACAAAAATCGACCAGGCGTTTGCTTTGTAACCACGGCTTGCTACTCTAAACGCTACGGCAAGGGGTTCTGGGATATAAGTATTCTAAACAAACATGGCGGTCGGGAAGCGAGTTTTCCTTGTTTTCGGTTCAATCTTTGCTTTGACATCGATGCTAAGTAAAAGTCTAGGCAATAACATCGTTGATGAACAGTGCTTTGAGGAATCATGTGGCAGAGAATTTGATCCTAAAGGACCACTTGTTAAGTGCAGTTTCTTGTGAGTATAAGTCTTGTTGTGTTTTATTTTTTGATAAGATAAGCTTACAAGCGTCATAAGCATTTATTTCGCATACGACAATCGCAGGCTATTTCATACAGACAGTTGATATGAATAGAGTCGAACTATAGATGTGTAATAAACAGAGATGCCAACCTCTGGAGACCTAAAATCGGGAGACTGTCTTTTTTTCACTATCCCCCCCCCGAATTTCAACGAAACTCCCCCTCCCCGAAGAATTGACCCAGCCCCCAATAGTTACAATGGGAATGACTCAGGACATTATATGACGTCTTACATGATGTACATACTATCAAAATTCGAAATCATCATTTTGATGCTAGAAATAATCTTTGTCAATGACTAAATACGTGCAAAAATGCCTCAGAAACTGTACTGGGAATAAGAAAAATTCAAGTTTTGAGCTAAAAATGGGCTTAATCTCAAATTAAGTCTGCTTTATTTTTTTGCGAGGTATTCAGTGTTTATAGTGGTCGTAAAAAGCGGCAGATTTATGTACCAAAGCACGAGAGCGGGAGACGAGGCAAAAAAGCGTAAGTCTCCCGCCAAAAGCGGTAGAGTTGGCATCACTGAATAAATGTGTGGGGCTGTACGCAAATATGGTCATCTCCTTTACTACGAGCAGCTGCTGTTAAATCAAAATTAAATCAAATTAAATCAAAGTTAAATTAAAGTTAAAGTTAATAATTAATGATTAAAGTTAATAAGTTAATAATTAAAGTTAATAATAATTATTATTAGTAGTATTATTAATTAATATTATTATTATCATTATTATTATAGTGATAATAATAATTAAAAATTATTAGATAAGACTGAGGATGATTTGAAGAAGGATAACACTGTCAGAGATCTCCAGTAGGGACCTGTCAGAAATTAGCAGGGGGGGAGGGGGGATGGAAACAGAGGGAGGGTCACAACTTTTTGAGACTCCTAAAAGGTAGGGTTCATGAAAAATCTGCCGTTAAAAGGGGGAGGGTCATGCAAATATATGCCCGTGATCATGGAGAGGTTCACCCACAGAAGAAGAAGAAAGTTCTTTATTTGATAAAAAAAAAAAGAAAAAAAAAGAACAGTGGAACATTATGGATATAAACTGTGAAGTACAATGGCAAGAATTAAACAAACATCTACTTTTCATTTATAACAATGCCATAGAGTCTTATCGCATTTTTATTGTGAATAATGTTATTATTAATGTTATTAGAGTTTCGGCTATCCTTTTCATCACTGTCTTCAGCATCACGATCAATGCTGGTGTGAGCATCTTGATCATCATCATTTATGTCATCAGCATTGATACAATCACTTTCATTATCATCATGATTTTCGTTTAAGTTGGAGCGTAGATATTGCTTGATAATTTCCTGAGATTCATTGGTGAACAATCCCTTCTCAAAGGCATATTGGATATATGGCCTTTGTGTTTTGAGGAGCCCACTTATTCCTTCATAATGAAGAGATAATGGACCAATAGGCTCTGTAACATCATGCCGATCTTGCTGAGGTGCAGTGGTTTCAATAACTCTTTTGCAGTTTACTTCCATTCTTTTTGTCCTAGCTTTTGTTGCTTTCCTTTTATTTTGTTTTTGTTTCCTTTTTTTTTCTTGTTGGCTTGGAATACTTTAAGAGCACCTGGAACATTTAAGAGCCTGGAACATTTTTCTTTCAATTCTGTAAGGTGGGGAGGGTCATGATATTTTAGGCCAAGCGCAAGGGGAGGGTTAGCAAATTTCACGCCCATTGCAGGGATGGGTCACCTAATTTCCGAACCCAAATTTAAAATTCCCACCCCCCCTCCCCCCCTGCTAATTTCTGACAAGTACCTTATGTTATATTCTTCAGATCATACAAAAGCCAAATCCAATAACTCCTAGTTTAAAAATCAAAGGCTCCTAGGAGCAAGCTCATGGATGAATTGAATTAGTGTAGAAAAGACAGTTCATTAAGAAAAGAAAAACATATAAATCTTTTTGAATGGTTCATTGTGTACTTGCCAAAATACAGCGTGACTCGAAGTATCCAATTGCATGTGTACCTGAATATTCTAGAAACTTTTTATCAGCGCAGCATTTCGAAGATCACATTTAAAAGCAATTTTTAACGCTTTTTAGTTGTAAAATAGTTTGCTTTCCCATGTGATTGTCAAACACTTTCCGAACGACAGTGCACTTTCTTGTAAAATAGTCAAGTTTCACATACATGAGTTTTATTTAAACCGTGGTTTTGAAAGTGCGATGCTATCAAATAAATGTTTCCATATGATGAGTATGTAACGGTTTGTATATACAGTACGAGCTCTATTAAATACACAATACAGGTGTTTATGGCTAAATTGAACTGCTTTAGAACGCGCTTTTGATAAACACGAGCTAAAAATTATTTTAATACATGTAAAACGGATTAAGCTCAAAGCAGTACGTGCTCTGACCTAGCCAAGTAATTTAAACGCAGTCGAAGTATCCGATTGCCTTTCGCCAGAGACTTGTTTATACCAGCACAGCATCTCTTGTAGAAATTACATTAATAGCACTGCTAAATGGAATCACCGACAAACAAAAGCCTACTTTAAGGCAAAGATCACCTAAGATTCAAGCAAAATAGCGTAACGCTTGTTGGTTCTAAAACCTGTGCTTCTAGTTGACACAACATTAATTCATTGCCTGTTTGCATACGAATACAAATGGTCAAACGGATTCGTCCAAATAACTGAATAAACCTCAATAGATACTCCTCTATGTTGCTTTAACAATTCGAGGACAGTTTTTTTGCAGTGATTATAAGGCTCTTTGGTTTATTCGCTTTTCGCTGAACGAAATCCCATCGTCAGGCTGCAATAGCTCTTTCACACTCCTGTTGATCGCATCTTCTCCATATCAAGTACAATATCAGGAGCAAATGTGCACAATTCGTCCAAATATACAACAATGGTCCACGCTCAATTATTTCAATGTCCTTTTAACAATTCTAAGTCGATTTCTTGTGGATGATATTATCAGTGTTCTTTAAAATATTGTTATTTAATCAAAACCCATCTCTATAACTGATGTGTCGGGAAAAAACATTCGCCTTACTAGTACCCTCTAGAATATTCCAAACATATACGTAAAAGGCACTTGGAAAAAAAGTAATACTAAGAAAGGGAGATAGGAGTAACGTGTTTAATCTGACTTTAATGAATAAATTAATGAGAATCGAGTGAGTGAGTGATTGAGTGATCGAGTGCCATTCAAGTGCCTCCAAAAGCCCATGGCATGACTACGTCATCCATGAGCTAACAAGCTGAAAAAATGCTTACTGTGATGGATGTTAGTTCCCGTCTTCATTTGCCTGTTTCTTGGCAAATTCATTTAAAAAACAAGTGGATGTTTATTTCTGAAGATATTCTGACTCCAGCCAGTATTTGTCATTTGTTGAGTTGTATTCTTACTACTCTTGCTTTGTTTTTGGGCAGTACTTCAGCTTGTTCTGCCATTTTGTACTGCTCTACCCAACCTTGTCCCAGGGCTTCTTGGTTGCCATCCCTTTTTTGCCAGTAACATTAACCCTGTACTATTTTTGTATATATTGACATCATTTTCTGGATATCTCAAGTGTCTTCCAAAATAAGATGGATAGCGCTCACAGGTTATTTCTGAGCCAATCAGAAATGGAGAATTATTTTAAATGAATAATAAAGGTATAAGATCAGCCAGTGCATAAAGCTAGAAATAATAATAGTGACAACAACAACAATAAAAATGACATTGATCGGGAGATGTACGTGCAAAGGCAGTATTTAAAGGGAAAACCAATGCAAGAAGCTAACTAGGACACCAGTATTATTTTAGTGTTTTAAGCGTATCTCATATTTTTGGCTTCTTATAGACCCATGGATTTTCTTCAGTGTGACCCTCCAGTTGACTTAAATGGAAATGATACTGCAAGACAAGAATCTGGTTATGGATGTACTAAAGTATGCCTAAGTAAATAATATTATTATAACACACTCCCTGCAAGGATCCTTGTAGGGATTACATATGATAGACTATAAACTAGCCTTCCCGGGATGTGCAAAAATGGGAGCAGGAGGGGTAGGAAAACATGATGTTTCACGCATTCTTGAAGATGTGCCATTCAAGACTTGGAATGAGAAAAAGTAATACACAACAATTAACCCTGTAAGCCGCAAAAGTGATCATATTCAATTTTCTCCTACCTGTTCAGGTTACACAAATTAATAAAATTATCACCTTTATTTTCTCTCAAATTATTCTCGAGATGAATTTATAAAGATCAGTTTACAGAAATCGGGCATGAAAGGTTAAATTAACTATCACCTTATCCTGGATTCATTGAATGCACACTGAACTGGAATGTGAGAAAGTTCTTTCTTACAAGCAAATGAATTTATGTTCCCAATAAAATAACTGACAAGTTAAAATTCCACAGCAGCAGGAAACAAAATAATAATATTGCTTATAAACAAGCATGGTTGAGGAGTTCAACTTGTGACTACCATGAAATAAACCCATGTAGAGGTCAGTGGAGGAATAGGCCTTTTGCAGGTGTTGGTCATCTGATCAACTTCTGTAAACACGAAAACAGTTCACTTTTGAAACATTTTGTTAGCAGGATATGAAAGAGCATATTAAATTTAGGTAACCTGTAAATTTTCAACAGTGCACCTCTAAAACTGTGACTGCAATGGCTGCCAAAAATTAGAAGGATTTGTAGGGGAAAACAACGCTTTGCCACCCAGTCACACTTGAATGGTTTTCGATACAAATCATTGTAAATTTTGACAGTTTCAAATTGTCCTAAAATCTTTGCCTTATGCATGCATTACAGGACTCAAACTTTCTATTGTGAACAAAAGAAAATTTGAGTTCCTTAATGCATAAGGAAAAGATTTTAATGACAGTTTGAAAATTTCAAAATTTACAAGGATTTGTACTATGAAAAGCCATTCAAGAGTGACTTGATGTCAAGAGTTGTTTTCCCATACAAATCCTTTGCAATTGCCACTTTTGTGGTATATGGCTGAAAATTAGGTTATCAAATTTTAAGATGCTCTTTCAGTTCCTTCTAACAAAATTATTGAAAAGTGAGCTGCTTCGTGTTTACAGAAAGTTGATCAGGTGGCTAAGTATTAAACCCAGATCTGTGAATTACAATTCCAGCACACACTGACGGCTTGTCCATGTTGCCCCTTTTTTAAAATTAATATTGACCTTACGCTGGATGATTGTTGCTTAAATATGTGATGTTTGGTTCCCTTGTTGTTAACTCTGTTAAATAGCATTCAACTGCATTCAAATTTCAGTTTGGAGGCTCAAAGTATGATGATGTGCAACATACAAGAGTATGGTGTGAGGTCTTACATGGAATAGAATGCTTTGGAGAAAGGAGATTCCTCAGTAGTGAAACGTTTCCTTGCATCAAGTAAGTAGTTCAGTATTAAAATGGCATGCACACATGCATGTAACTATGTATCAAGGCTGGAGAATAGAAGCTTGTGGACACAGGTGTATTTCTGGTCGTCGCTTCTCTCCTCCTGAAATGTAATGTTTGCGAACCTGAGCGGTAAAACGGTTTCTGTGACATAAAAACTTTTGTTTTGATGTTGGCCAATCAGATCAAAGGGTAGATTACAGCTTGAGTTCAGCTTGAGTGTCCAGCTCCTTGCATTCTTGTGCGCTTGCGTGTCTAGGATTTTGGCGAGTGTTGGAACGTGAATTTCACACCTATAACAAGGTTTCCTGGGATGTTGAATGCTGACGTCTTTGTAAGCAATGGCTTCTTAAGCTATGTATGTTGTGTAGGCCTTTGGTTTCACTTTATGAAATATGGTAGTACTTGACATAAACAAAACTTGGACAAAATAATCGCTAAAGCTAAAGGAAAATAATATGACATTGCGCTCAGACTCACGATTACTTTTATTTCAATTTAACCAGGGCTAACAAAAGGTGGTGCATTGATTGTACAGACACATCCTGCACTGAGTCAAAAATCTCTGACAAACGCTGTTAATAATTCCAAATCCCGCAAGTATCACCATTATACAATAATGTGAAATATTATTAACGTGGGCATGACTCAACATGCAATAAAAATTAATATTTACAGAAGTGAATTTATCATAGTCAAGGTGACAACGCTTCAACTCATCTTAAAGAAAACTATAGAAATTAAAACCTTGAAAAGAACATGTATTTAAAGAATTAAAAGAACAACTCTAATACGCTTTTGATCTGATCAAATTTTTGCCTGAACCAAGAAGCAACCATGAATGGGAAATTAATTACCACAATAATGTCTTACAGCGTAGCTTTCAAAGATAAAGGATACAAAACAATATCTCCAGCGGCACACAGCAAACTGTCAAAGAGTCCTCCAAAGCAGACTTTCCTGCGAGAAACAGGAAAGGAACAAAGAGCATGATGCATCTACGTCATTAAGACATCGTTTTGAATATGACCCAAACAGCAAGGTGTGATGAATAATTGACTCCGTAGGCAAAAAGATAAAAAAATTCCTCTAATCTCTTCTTCATTATGAATCCTCTTGGTGCTTATTTCATCAATAAGTCCCCCAATCCTGGCAAATTAACTTTCATAAACGCATCTTTCTAAGGGGAAGGGGTGGCTGTACACAAGTTACATCATCCACGATTCATTTTTGACTTGTAAATATGTCCACTGTGCATGATCTTACGAGAAGTCTCACGAGTTAGCTCCTTGATTTTAAGAGCTAAACTGTGATTGGCTAGTAATGCCTTATGTCATGGAAATTGTTTGGCCAGTCGGGTTCGCAGACATTACTTTTTGGGTGGAGAGAAGTGACGACCGGCAGTGTATGCACGTCTGTGTCCGCAGGCTAGGAAAAAAGTTGTTACAGTTCAAAATTGAATTCAGGTTAAATTTTTTAACGTAGGTTGATTCTCAATTTCCTTGGTCTCCTAGCCCTAATTATTTAGTTTCAAATTCGTCGCAGCCACTGAATAGAAACACTGAAGACTCATTTATACAGGGTTAGCCTTGGCCTAATATGACAGTAAAGTCCTTGGAACAACTATGTCTATTGTTTTCTTTCTTTATTTATTTATTTATTTACTTTTTTATTTTGAAACTCAAATTCAGGCACCTTCTCATCGGTATTTGTGAATATTTTACTTAAAGGGTCAAAGCTGACCCTGTACAAATGAGTCTTTAGCGCTTTTACTCAACAGCCAGAATGAATTCAAAACTGGCTTATTCATTGTTACATTGTAATTTAGTAGACCAATAATGTTCATTATCTTTATTGTGTCAAGTTGAATTTAGCGTCTCTACTCACTCCTTGCTGCTTGGGACTTTTGCCAGGAGGGACATTTCTGCCTCAGCAACAGAAATTCCATACAGATGATGTAAAATCTGTCCGGAATCTGGTCAGGAGCTCTGACTGGTCAGTGTGGTAGTTAAATTGTGTTCAGACAAAAGACAAATGGTCACAAAGGGCAAATGCAAACAATATGAATCTACTAAAAAGCAGTCACTATTTGTGGAATATATTTTCCTTTAGAGAACTTAAAACTTTTGCTGGAGCTTGTTCGCAGAAGGACACAAAACTTTACCTTAATAGTCTAGGAGACACATAAAATCTTATGACTGCTGGATTAATTATGTAAACATTGATTTACATCATTAGTATGGAATATCTGTAGCTTAGGCACATACATCCCTCATGGCAAAATGTCTCTTCTAGGCAAGGAGCCAGGAGAGATAGCTGTTTTGCAGGCTACAGGTAGGTGAAATCTGATTTTTGACAAAATATAGGAAATGTTCCTCACCATGTGCTGCATCCTAAGGCACCTTCAATACAGTCAGTTGCCTTTGTTTCATGTAACATTACTAAACCTCTGACTACCTTGCTTTAAAACTGGCCTGAATTTCAGACGATTACTTCAAGTTTTTTCTCCTCTCAGCAACTGAGGGAGTAAAACCAACTCCAAGTAATCGTCTGAAATTCAGGCTAGCTTTAAAACCTTCTTTTACAGTTTTAACGTCAGATAATGGCATTAAAAAGGTTAACCTTTTATTCACACGTTCTGTTATGGATTGATTATATGTTGTGGTTCTGGTCTCCAGATACTCTGGCCATCGGTTTGTGACCACCCTCTTGTACTCCATTCTGTTGGGATTCCTAGGCGTGGATCGCTTCTGTCTGGGTCACACTGGTACAGCTGTAGGAAAACTATTAACACTGGGTGGACTGGGTATATGGTGGGTGGTGGATGTGATTCTTCTTATTACAGGAAACTTAAGACCGAGTGATGAAAGCAACTGGGTGCCATACTATTAGCTATGGAATTAGCAGCATCCCACTGCAATTATAGCTGCATTTTGTGTAGAACTACCAGTGGCCGATCCAGGGGGAGGCGCCCCCCTTATTTTTAGACCAAACTGAGGCCCAAAGGGCCAAAAAACTTTTTTGGAGACCCGCCCTTATCTAAAGGTCTGTATCAGCCACTGAGTACATTATGGCAACTTTCTGGTGCTGATCGATGTGAAGGACAACTCATCAAGATTATCTCCCGTGAAGCCATTCCAGGCAACAAGGAAAGCTGTTGTCCAGAGGATTACAAAAAACTCTTTGAGAAAATCATACATTTGCTTGTTGCTGAAGTATCCACTTTTATATCAATTGTGCAGTCTCAAGGTAAAAAAAAACTTTTACTTCAGTGGAATAGTGAATGGTTTGAAGCCAGAAGTCATTCCATTGATTGGTCAATTCAGTCGTGGTTTTATTGGTCATCTGTCAGTTAAGCCGTGATGTCATTGGGTATGAAGAGTCTACATGTGATTGGTGCGTTTCAATTGCAATTTATGTTTGAAGTGTCTTCTGTGTGGCCTCACTCAAAAGAACAAGAATTAACCGAGATGCAAATATCAGGACCTGTATCCGTCGAAGAGCAGTTGAATTTAATTCCGATTTAAATCGTGTCTTAAACAAAAATTTTTTATCTCGGTTCATGTATCTGGTAGGAGCCTATAAAAAGTTGTTTGGTCTTCACAGTTCAAAAATGTTTCAGAGGAAGGTATGTAAACCCTGTACTGGGTTAAAATATTAATTGATGCTGGTTTCCAGCAGCTTTAAAGCAAATTTTATTCAGGCCATGAAAATCTAATAGAAATCCATTATAAATAAATTTCCATTTTCTAATTAGATGTAATTAAAGATATTTCTCATTTTCTGCTTGACTTCAGTCTTCTTTGCAATTTGCTGTAACATGGTGTTGTTGACCAAAATAGAACTACATGTATGTGGGTAATTTATTTTACAGCTTCATCATCAATCATCGTCATTCATCCTCATTACCATCAATCACTCGGACAAAATCTGAAAATAAAGCCATCTTTTTCTTTTATTCACTGTTCACCGCATTTAGTCATATTTGAAAGGTAATAAACAGAAGTTTCAGGTAAGTCTCTCTCGTGCCAGTATGTCGAACAAAATTCCCGTAAATTGCGTAGCGAACACTGCAATATCCATGAGGCCCAGTTCAAAACCTCTAATCTCGCAGCTAGGAAGATCCTTGTACTTAGAAGACCTTACCACTAGGGACAGTTACAACTCTAAAAACAACTCTAAATCAAATCAGTTACAACTCTAAATCAAAGAAAGATTTGACACTGAAAAGCCGAGAATCAAAACATTAAGTTTTTACCGGTATAATTTTGAAATAAAGAAGATAACAATAATCAGACAAGGCGTAAATGAAGTATATCTTGGCAAGATATAATTAGTAAGTTTTACAACACATATTCCATAATCAGAATCTCCCAAGAAGAGGAGCCCCCCTTCCCCCCCCCCCCCCTACTTTTTTTGAAAATAGAAGGACAGTACAATTAAGTAGTAGACTTTTTCATATTAAACGTATCTTTGGTGGAATAAGAATATTCGGCTGGCAGACCTTACAAAGCGTCTCAATTTATCACTGGTCCGTTTCGATCCTATATCTGATGCGTAGTAAGCACAAGATTGCAGTTACTCGTAAACTTTCGCGTTTTTAAATCAGCCAGGCTAAGTAGAAGTGAAGTGAAGTGTTTTTTTTTATGAATGTTCTCTGTTAAATCTAAAGACTACTTTGCGGAACTATGGTTTCTTTAAACGAATTATATCAGCTGATGATGTAGTCTGATGCATTAAAAGGCGAACTGGAAATTTGAAGTTTTGATATTACATGTTTAAGTTAACAGTTTGGTGTTACATGTTTCGATGACATTATATACAAAGTGAAGGAGCTACAGAAACCTCAGAAGATCATGATAAATAGTGGAATTGTCACGATCTGCGCTGGTGAATCATACCTGTGCAAGGGGCAGCGGTAGAAAGGTCCTTTTCAGCGTTTTATAGGTTAAAAACATTGCTCCGCTCAAAAATGACTGAAAAAGGTTCAGTGATCCCACAGTACGTAATAGCCACAAAGAGAGAGCAAAGAAATTTCTCTTGAAGACTAGCAAATAAATTTGCTGATGCATGGCAACTGTAATCGGAAACGAAATTTTGGTAAATTCAGATTCCACCCTTGCCCGCAGGGGGACTCTAGATAGGTGAGGTAACATGTGGCGGGTCACCCCACCTATCATGTAAACGTGATCAAAGTAAAATGAGAGATTACATGGAAAGGCGGGTTACCCCACCTACGCGGGTTACCTCACCTACCTGGGGTCCCTCACCTCCATGTAAACAGGCCCTTATTAAAAGAGGTGGGTCATCGGCCCTCGCACTTTAAATACTGTTCCGTAGGTCCCGATAATTTACATTTTAAGGTCATGATACACGGGATGATTCGCAACGACGATTTTTAGCGCAACGCAGCGTTGCAATGTTGGAACAATGTTGTGAGCGATTGTAACCATTCCAAACAATGTTGCAACGCTGTGTTGCGCCAAAAATCGTCGTTGCGCATCGTCTCGTGTAATATTGCCTTTATACATAGTCCGTGTTTTATATTCAATCCCCTTTTATACCCAGTCTGCAAATCCACAGACCGCAAAATTTTACAGCAGTTTCTCGGAAATATAAACAGAAAGCTTCGGTAAAAATGGACAACAAATACGTGGAACCTGTTTTGCAACATTGCTGCAAAGCGAATTGGAAAGTTATGCAGGTTTCACCACCCACCACCTACGTTCTAACCTTTCTCGCAACAAATGAGGTTGTTCCAAGTTGCGTGACTACTGACTTTTAATTTGAGAAGGGGCCGAGCATTCGACTTTTGAGAGGGGGTATTGTTGATTTCAGAAGAAAATATCCTTCAAACTGATTTCGAGGGAAAAAAATATATTTTGCAAGGAAATACCTGCAATACAGTCGCTTTGTATGTCAGGGAAAAAACTTCTATCACCAAGAAGTTTAGGGGAAAGAATTCTTACCCAAACCAAATCACCCATATCCGCCCTCCCTCAAAAGTCAAATGGTCGGCCCGCAAAGTTACGCGGGAGTCACGCCATCCACGGGCCATGTGTCACTTTGATGTGAAACAAGTTTGCCTTGAGCCGTTAAAACGCACAACATATACAGATTTTGTTGCAAAAAATGAAGAACTACTCTCTACTTTCTGCAACAACCTGATTTGCTGGAAGACAGCTTTGACTCGTGGGTGATAAAACGAGAAATAGCGCTATTCAACTCGTGTTGAAGCAATGTCGCAAAGTCCGCAAAGTAAGTTGTATGTTTTAGTTGGCCCTTTTAACAGTGGTTGCACTTCCGTTTCCGGTCTAAAATCGCGTAGAACTGGGTTCAAAGCCTGGAGTCTTGGCTAGTCTTTTATGATAGTTTAAACAACACTAACAAGAAAAGAGAAAAAAAAAATCACCTAAAGCTCGCGAGCAGACAGAAGAAAAATAGTTGGCGAGAAGAGCAAAAGGAGATGTCTACAACACGGGCTATTCCCAGGTGGTCCCCCGCCAAGGTACTAGACCCGCCCGACAGGACTTTACTTCGGTGTTCGGATGGGAACCGGTTTTTCCCCTGTGGTGTGGTCGTAGACGACGAGAGCAAGACGACGAAAGGTAAGATCAAATAGTTGAGTTCCGTCTTCTTGCTTCTGTATTGGACTCAGTGGCCAACCCTGACGTCTGCAACCAGCGGAAATAGTTTGACAACATAACTGCGGTGAAATGTTTTCCTCTAGAAAAAGCTCATGGCGTTAATAATCTGAATCACAGTTTCAATTCCATGCGAAGGATGGACCTTGTGGAAAAGAGGAAACTACACTAGGGGTGTGTGTGCAATCTTTGTAGGGGCTGTCCTGTCTTCGTTTGGTTCAGAGTTATTTGCAGTGTCTTTGCCTAGTCTTTTATGATAGTTTAAACAACACTAACAAGAAAAGAGAAAAAAAAAACACGTAAAGCTCGCGAGCAGACAGAAGAAAAATAGTTGGCGAGAAGAGCAAAAGGAGATGTCTACAACACGGGCTATTCCCAGGTGGTCCCCCGCCAAGGTACTAGACCCGCCCGACAGGACTTTACTTCGGTGTTCGGATGGGAACCGGTTTTTCCCCTGTGGTGTGGTCGTAGACGACGAGAGCAAGACGACGAAAGGTAAGATCAAATAGTTGAGTTCCGTCTTCTTGCTTCTGTATTGGACTCAGTGGCCAACCCTGACGTCTGCAACCAGCGGAAATAGTTTGACAACATAACTGCGGTGAAATGTTTTCCTCTAGAAAAAGCTCATGGCGTTAATAATCTGAATCACAGTTTCAATTCCATGCGAAGGATGGACCTTGTGGAAAAGAGGAAACTACACTAGGGAGTGTGTGCAATCGTTGTAGGGGCTGTCCTGTCTTCGTTTGGTTCAGAGTTATTTGCAGTGTCTTTGGCTAGTCTTTTATGATAGTTTAAACAACACTAACAAGAAAAGAGAAAAAAAAAAAATCACCTAAAGCTCGCGAGCAGACAGAAGAAAAATAGTTGGCGAGAAGAGCAAAAGGAGATGTCTACAACACGGGCTATTCCCAGGTGGTCCCCCGCCAAGGTACTAGACCCGCCCGACAGGACTTTACTTCGGTGTTCGGATGGGAACCGGTTTTTCCCCTGTGGTGTGGTCGTAGACGACGAGAGCAAGACGACGAAAGGTAAGATCAAAATGAGAGTTCCGTCTTCTTGCTTCTGTATTGGACTCAGTGGCCAACCCTGACGTCTGCAACCAGCGGAAATAGTTTGACAACATAACTGCGGTGAAATGTTTTCCTCTAGAAAAAGCTCATGGCGTTAATAATCTGAATCACAGTTTCAATTCCATGCGAAGGATGGACCTTGTGGAAAAGAGGAAACTACACTAGGGAGTGTGTGCAATCGTTGTAGGGGCTGTCCTGTCTTCGTTTGGTTCAGAGTTATTTGCAGTGTCTTTGGCTAGTCTTTTTTATGATAGTTTAAACAACACTAACAAGAAAAGAGAAAAAAAAAAAAATCACCTAAAGCTCGCGAGCAGACAGAAGAAAAAAAATAGTTGGCGAGAAGAGCAAAAGGAGATGTCTACAACACGGGCTATTCCCAGGTGGTCCCCCGCCAAGGTACTAGACCCGCCCGACAGGACTTTACTTCGGTGTTCGGATGGGAACCGGTTTTTCCCCTGTGGTGTGGTCGTAGACGACGAGAGCAAGACGACGAAAGGTAAGATCAAATAGTTGAGTTCCGTCTTCTTGCTTCTGTATTGGACTCAGTGGCCAACCCTGACGTCTGCAACCAGCGGAAATAGTTTGACAACATAACTGCGGTGAAATGTTTTCCTCTAGAAAAAGCTCATGGCGTTAATAATCTGAATCACAGTTTCAATTCCATGCGAAGGATGGACCTTGTGGAAAAGAGGAAACTACACTAGGGAGTGTGTGCAATCGTTGTAGGGGCTGTCCTGTCTTCGTTTGGTTCAGAGTTATTTGCAGTGTCTTTGGCTAGTCTTTTATGATAGTTTAAACAACACTAACAAGAAAAGAGAAAAAAAAAAATCACCTAAAGCTCGCGAGCAGACAGAAGAAAAATAGTTGGCGAGAAGAGCAAAAGGAGATGTCTACAACACGGGCTATTCCCAGGTGGTCCCCCGCCAAGGTACTAGACCCGCCCGACAGGACTTTACTTCGGTGTTCGGATGGGAACCGGTTTTTCCCCTGTGGTGTGGTCGTAGACGACGAGA